GCCACCTCCCCCGGCGCCTAGGCCTCCACCACCTCCTCCTCCTCCTCCACCAGCGCCCAGACCCCCTCCTCCTCCACCAACACCTAGCCCGACGCCGTCAGTTCCCACTATTCCGCCCTCGAGACAAAGACCAAGCTATCAGCCTCCTCCACCTAGACCTCAAACTCCTCCACCACAGCCGGTACCTAGACCCCAGCCACCAGCTCCACGGCCTTCGCCCGTTCCAAGGCCAGCTTCCCCTCCAGCTGTCAGACCAACGCCACCTCCACCCCTACCGGCACCAACGCCACTTCCCACAGTTCCTCCAAGAAGACCTATAAATAATTATCAGCCGCCAGCTCCGCAACCGGCTCCTGCTCCGCAGCTGCCGCCTGCATCAAAACCACAACCTACATCTCAACCAAGTTTGCAGACAATTGTACCAAGACGGCCACAACCGCAGTATCAACCAGAAGAGCCGCCGGTGAAACACGTAAATTTCGAGCCAACAAGAGCACCGCGACCAGCGTCGACAGCCCTACCAGCACCGACAACCCCTCCAGCCCCAGTACCACAGCCGCGTCCTGCTCCAGCTCTAACACCGGTACATAGGAGAGTCAAGCCCGGATATAAGCCTGGAGAGCGTGTGGCGCCTCCACAGCCAGAGTACCTTCCTCAGGAAGAACAAGTACCTGGAAAGCTACCAGCACCTCTCCCGTAAGTACTGCGGAGAATTTCTAATATCTATTTACTAATTAGTTAAAGATTTAGCGCACAATTATAACTATTTCATGTTTGCCTTTTTTTGACAATCACAGCCAAATATGTATCGGAATCAAGAACTAAATTAAAAAAATCGTGCTTGCTATTCGACGTATATACGTACATCGGATATATATATAGAGTAGGTATGAAATAGTTTGTTCACTGATCAGCCGTCTTCCGTTTGTTCACAGTCGGCCGAACCGCGGGCGGCAGAGGGTTGCGTACGCGTTCGATAACTAAACTCATCAAAATAACTGATTCATAACTCGCTAACCTATTCATTTTGCAAATAAGAGAAATAGGTCGTATAGGTCGAAGAGGAACAGCAAAAAGAGTGTTCAGAGTAGCGTACGAACCAATGAAAAAAAAATTGGATTTTACCGGCACCAATTTTCAACTTTCCTACCCCTAAAAAAATAATTAAATACCAAAATTCGTCAGTAACTAATACATGAACCAGTACGTACGTCGAGACTTAAAGTCCCTTACGGCGTTATAGTCGATCATTTTTCCGTGGAAATCTGGCGATTGCCCTCCGCAACCCTGATGTACATTTGCTTTCGGCGGCGCCACCAGAGTCACGGGAACTACTTATCAACTGCATTTTTCACGTTATATATTCGTATACATATTCAACCAGCCAACAAATCTCGCGCCATCGTACCATAGAAACACCCATCCATCTATTCATAGACTAATGTAAGATGAAAGAAGATTCAAGAGGAATGGGGAGAAGAACGAAAGTAATCGAATTAATAACATCAAGCAAAGAGAAGGATTTAAACAAAAATACAAAGGCATCGATACAAACAAATCAAACTGAATAGAGGTGCCACATTTGCGAGAAAAGAACGAAAAAATGTTACGGCAGCAGCAGGCACCTGTGGTATTAATTTTTAAAATGACATCCAATAGAGGTCCTGTTATATTTCTCGTCAATAACGACGTCGTCGTCTAGAAAAAAACGAAGCCGTACGCAGGACCCACAACGTGATAGACAGCCAGCAACAAGAACACGAAGAGTTTTTATGCGTTAAGCCAACAGTGGAGAACGACAACAGCTTTTAAGCCAAGTTAATCTACCAACCCTGACCTAGGCCATACAGCGTCATTGAAAGGGAAACCACAATATGCCTTCAACCAAAATTGGTGTTATTATTTAAAAACATTCCTAACCTGTGATGAAAGCCAGTTGAGGTACAATTTGATGGTAGGCGTATGAATTTTGCAACGACGAGAAATTATGCTTGGGTTAGATGCGCCCAAAATAATGTGGCAAAACACTTTATTAGAAGAAAATGATCTAACCGGCCTCTCTCGTCTACAAAATAGTACACGGTGTAAACGTGGAGATAAATATGCATTAAGATCATCTAAAGTAAATCCACCAATATTAGAATGTTTGTATTATATACTAACCTAAAAAAAAATTAAACCAATCAACGACGAGCACCGAAACAACGATCGGACCAGGTATATATATATATATATGTATTGACTTTTATATAAAACCTTTGCGTAATTTATTTCAGTTTAACTTACGATATCTATTACTTTATTCAATGGTTATACCTAAAACAACGTACACAGTATGTTACACAGTATACTTTTGTTACTCAATTTCTAGATATTTTACCATTTATTTTATAAATAGATATTGGCAGCAAACAGGAAATGTACATATGTGTGAATTATTATACAATTTTTGTAGCATCTTCCAACATGTAAATTTTTGCATTGTTTATGGGTATTATTACCATAATAAGCAAATATGCGTATTGATGTTCTGTTTTTGGTTTCAAATGACCCACATATCTAACCCCGATCCACTATGCCTTTGCTATATTGCAGCTCTCCAATTCCTGCTCCCGATACTGCAACGTAAGTTACACAAAATAGACGCCTATTTCCCGAACTTTTAAAGCATACTTTCTGTATTTCGACGTTTGCGAGCCATAACGTACAGAATACATCAGTATTTGATAGCTGAAAATTTTGATTCGTACATATTTTGTACAAAAAAAATTCATATTCAATATTACCACGTTCACCAAGAATGAGACCATCAATTTTACTACTTGTTACGGCTATGAATTTATCAGTAGCCAGTCTCAGGTCATCGTACGTTTTGGGCTTGAGTAACAACTTAATCGTTTTGGAAAGTAAACTTACCCTTCACCAAACGAAAACAGCATTTGTATGAAAGAAGTCTAAGTTCCCATTGAATAACTGAATTAGCCGGGTTAATTATTCTAATAAGAGAGTATAATGTAAGATAAAATGGGGATTCACGTTGTTCATAGGCTGAGGTAACTTGGAAATGCACCTAGTGATAGTTAAATTACCACCATTATAGAACTAAATATATGCAATTTTGTCTTCTATAATGACGATCCATACGCGGGGTAACGTTAAAGGTTTACATTAACATTGCAAAGCTTCACTGTATTGATGATACTGGCAAACTACAATGTATGGCAAAAATGGTACTTTTTTTTTCTACACTCATACAACTGCTCTTCTGGTTCTATAAGAACCGCTTGGCAGCGTCTTACAAACAGACAAAATTATTAATAGGGTCGTTCCCTCTACTGAAATATCTCTAAGACTAGGCAATATTGATGTACGTCGAACGATTGATTTTCGCTCCAAGTTTGCTGTTTAATATATACGCGCCGCTTGACATTTTATGTGGTAAAGTACTTGTTATTCCTATCAGTAATGATATCATCATTTCCATGGCACAAAGGGTTAGACAAATCACAATATTTACAAGTATGGTTATCATTTGTCCAGGACAGATTTTCCCTAGACATATCCTTCCACTTGTGATTCTCTATTGCGTTCGTACTGAAAAACACGGACGATTTTTGAACGATATTTTTTAAGTGTTTCATTTATTAATCTGTCGAATTGCTTTAAACCAGATCAAGGACAGGTATAAGGCCCTTCCGCTTCTAGGCCTTACCCCTGTAGGCACTATCAGTTTCACAGAGGTGGTGTTAACTTTTTTCCGGCTTTCCGAGAAGCGAATTAGGGAGAACGAAATCTAAATATACATAGCTAAATTTTTAGCACCTTTATCCCGATCTGGCTATACCTTGTATAGTTTTTTTGCTAATCTAAACCGACGCTGCTAACAGATAAGGTAATAAAGTAAGTAAAAAAGAAAGAAACAGAAAAATACACAAAGGTATAACTGTGACTTAAGATTACAACGAAAATCTGTATCTTCACTGTCCATGTGCAAGCGCGTTTGCATAAAACAGTGCGACAAACGATGTGGGCACTAACGAATTGATTATTACCCCTCAGGCAGCAACAACCAGCAACAGGATTTATAATTAGTCGGCGCCCCAGGCTACTGACCCTCACGCAACCCTATATATCAACCGAGCTTGCCGATAAGGGCGTATCCAGTACAGAAGTAGCTACAACTCGAAGCCCGGGCCGACGAATTTCACCGACAGCAACGGTCAGCCCCACAACAGACACGCTTGTCACAGCAACCTCTGTCACGTTTCAGTCTAACAGGTAAACTCGTCAATTATTACCGCTAGTAACGCAGTCAAGACGCATAATCATGCATAAGACAAACTCTAATCTGCGCAGATCATTAAAAAGTCAGATTAACTTACTCAGTAGATGATGCGGATATATGTATGGCTAGCACTTTCCCCTGATAAAACTGTCACGGTCATCAAGTTCGTAGTTATTGTTGCCTGGTGGCGAAAAAAAGAAGCAGCATTTTGGAAACTTGTTACTCGTAATCGATCTGAAAAAGCTGCTGAAGTAACCCTAGATAGTTGTGACGAGTGCGACACAAGATTTGTAGAGATACTACTCAAAAGCGGCCTGATCACTCAAATATAGCGTTTTCGACCTGAAAACCGCACTCCAGTGGACACTTGAGCGATTTTTTCATGATGCTAGTGAGTAAATGAGCCTGACCTTTTTAGTGATCGAGCCTTTGCCGTAACAATGGAACAAATGTTGTAGGTGGCCACCGTATCTTTTTGACTATATCAATGGCGCCAATATACGTGTTTCCCTCTTGTTATAACCATTTTAGAGAGTCGAAATTTAAAGCAGTGTTTCGGATGATGAAACGCTGACGCATTGGAGAGAGAGCAGATAGCTTACTAATAGCATAGTTGGCATGCAAATCCTATTTGATTCCCAGTAAAATAAAAAAAAGGACTAATGAAGTGGCGAAAGGAACAACAACAACAGCCGTTATTTTTCGAACAACCCTATAAACTAGTAGACCACAGCAAATTATCATACAAGATACATGGGTGCGCCTAACATTAAACTTACTTACCTAAATGAGTGATTTTGTAACAATAGGTGAGATCGACTGAGATCTTTCATTTAAGTTTTCTCTATACATAACTCAAGAACCGTACCCGTCATGGATGCTACAAGTCACGGAGTTGCAGACATGATAATTTGATTATTTTGCGATTCTTCTTAGCAGGTAGTATTTTTTCTCATGGAATATTCGATGGAAGCGTTACAATCCTCGCAATTCAACTATATAAACAAATTATAATCGAGTCAACTCATGCTTCTCGTCACAGGACGGAGCCAGACTCTGGGAAAGCAGTGGAGACACAGCAGCCCGATCGTACATTACTTGATAAATCGTCGCCACCATGTAAAGTAAAAGGACGCAACTTTTGCGTCCTCACCAGCGACTACCCTATGTAAGTGCGTTTACAATCATTTATTCAGTCTCCTAAAGATACATTGCATTTTTGTACTCCAACGTATACTGAGGTTTTAGCGAAGAAGAGTAATATCCCAAAGAACAGTAGCTAACACATTTTCCCCCCTTTTAAGGCGCGTATAAGGTTTAGGAATATATTGTAGCTCTCTTTCATGCTGTTTAAAAAGTCGGCATCATAGCCACGACGACTTGATAGAAACAGAATAAATTTGCTCTTAAAATTTACAGAATATAAAATGCTCACATAAAATGCTTTAAAAACCCGTCGTTTCCCTCTAGCAAACGAAGGATTTTTAAAGCAGTTCGACAAAACGAGCCACCGTTAGTGTCAACGGGGCAAGGCGACAAGTCGAGTGTAGTAGATATACCCGAAATGAACGGCAAACTGTTTTATTCGGTTTCGATCTGGATGCGGGCAGAAACCCCGTTGTGACTAGGGCACCATCTCATATTCTTCGTCAGCCCACAGACACATTTGCTAACGAAATTACCGAGCACACGCACACAAGTACTTATATAGACGGCTCACCGTTCGCTTGATACAACCACCATGACAGGAAGGCTGTCAAGGGCGGTAAGTGAGAAATTGACGATGCCCGGACGTGTGATAGATTTTCCGGTCGGCACGTTCCAGCATCAAAGACAACAGCAGCGTCGGCAGATACTTTAACTTGATCATTGTCTTCTAGTCCTGTTCTATGCAGACGAGGCGAATATTTGTGCGTTCCTGTGGCCGTATGAGAGGGGGTAACCCTCACTGGGGCCTCTTCCCATTTGCATAACTTATTGAGGCTGTGAGCGGAAAAAATATAAGAAAAAAAAACGAATCTTCGAATTCGAAGATTTTATCATCGGATAAGTTTGCTCATAAATGGTCATTTTGGTTGATTCTAACGATGACTCTGTCATCGATGGCACGCCTATTGTAATAGCGCGTTTCAAAATCTACTTAGATTTGGGCTTCACAAAAAAGTGTCAAAATTTGTGTACTTACTGGGAATAGTTGCGTATAAATGTATTAGTTGACTAATCTTATCGATTGTCATAATTACTGGGTGAAGAGCGCCATACTTACTAACTGGTAGGAAGAAAACCCGCCCTTTAATCTTTATTCATTCAGAGAATTTTTATGAAGGTTAGAAGGCGTGCCAATTTAAATGATCTGTGTATGGGAATATTACTCTGTCTGTGCCATACCGTTATTATCCCGATTAAATACGTAACAAGAAATGACATGCTTGCTGGGCTCAGCCGATTGACACATAGCTGAAGTTCAGCAGATTGCGTTCCGATTGCAAGTTAATAATGGCGAACATGTTCATTCAATAATTCCCAGTCGTGAGATTAGACAGGAAACACTTTAGACTTTGGATTTTTAGGATACCGTTTTTACGTTGTCTGTATCCACTGTGTTCCCACAGTCGATTGTTAGACAATTTTGAAATATTTTGACACAAAGACTAGTTAATTTTTCGAAATCTACACAATTATGCAAACATTTCTAAAAAAAGATTTTACATATAAATATTTTCCCATTTTAGTGGGACGCACACGTGACTTAGGATATACACAGTGCTTAAAAACACATTAAGTGGAGTAGTATAGTTACAAATGAATAAAGAAATGCACTGCCTCTCATTATCATTAGTCTTTGATAAAATAGTTTCGAAAGAATGTTCGCGTACTTTTCTACCAATGCGGCTAAAGCCAAATAGGGAAACCTTTATCAACTCAGTTCGCAAGGATTTAATGTGGTTTTACTTTTATGTTAGGGACGTCGTAAACCGTGCAGTAGACGAAAACATCCAGAGGGTAAAATTCCTCTATGAGGAACTACAGACGGTGACCGCTCCAGAGATATCGTCGGAACAGCAATTTGACTCAGAAATTGGCCGAACCGATTTTGCCTGTGAAACCCAGACGGAAGAGCTGCAGGTTGGATGGGCACGCGAGGCTGTCAGTAAAGACTGGATGCTTATCGTAAACACTGAGCTCTTTCCTCAGATGGTTCGCATTGAGAAGTGCATGTAAGTATTTTACAGTTGACAAAAGTGAATAATTAAATAGTTGACAATGTCATTTCAACGAGATGAGAGCGTATTTAGTAAGACTAATTATTGCCTGGAATGATATGCGATGATAAACGAAAAAAAAAAAAAAGATTTTCCTGTTGTAGTCTTTGCTGTCTGTTTACCCCGTTATTGTTTCTCTCTGATATCAGGCATCCCCGGGAACCATGCAAAGCGATTGATGCTCTCTTCGAATCCACCTGCCAACAGCGATTTAGTCTTCATCGCCTAATCGCCTTCCGACTGTCGGATATCGGGTCTTCACCCGTCGTTTCGCTATTCAAATTTCCTGCAGGCTGCTCGTGTCGAATAGGACGAAGAGGGAGTCGCGTTAGCCGAAAAGTCAACTGAATCTCTACCCCGTATTTCCTATAGGGTCGTCGTCGCTGACCACTTTTTTAAACGAGGCCAAGCCAGGTTATCAGAATACCACTTCTACTCGAGAACTATACTCAGTGACACGAAGTTAATGTCAGCTTGGTTTGGGCGATGTTCGTTGTAGACATTAACGAGGGTAGATGAATGATAGCGTTCCTTTATCAGTGTATATACATGAGTGCATATGTGTGGCTGTAGTGAAAATTGTCCTCCGTTTAGATAGATGGTCCAAGTTATCAAGCATTACTTCTACGCGTCGATAAGCAGAATATTGATTCAATCATTCTCAAGCTTCCCTTTTTCAGTCATCTTAAACTGGTTACTTGTGCCCTTAAGTTTATCTGCCTGCCAAAATGGTTCCTGTACAGAATGTTCGAATAGCGATTATAGATTAATTAAATCCCGCCCGAACTATGATGAAGCAGGTCAAAGAAGAAGAACATGGACATTTGTTAGAATACAGTAGCATACACACCGATGGTGTTTAATGGTAATTCAAGTGCCACGGACTTTAGGGCCTGAACTCATCCTTGCTGCTAGGACGTCGAAAAGTGTCCGTGTCAGCTAGTTGAGTACAGCTTCAGTTGTGCAGGATGGAGGTTGTGGTGAAGATTGCAGACTCATCTAGAAGTCGCGCAGAAGGCCGCCGTACCCATCGTAGAGAAAAAGGGATTACATCTATTGTGTGGTTGTTCAATGGAAGCTTATTACATCTCTAGTGATCGTACTGATAGTTGTATAACAGTAATAGACCTTTGAATCTTTATAGATTTGTTCAAAAGTTAAAAGTTAGCGGATTTGACCAATACACAAGTTAGGTGTTGTATCGTTCTCAATGTTGAGTTATCCCAATGCTGAGCGCATATGTTAATGTTAATATTTTACTTGTTTATTATTTTAATAAAACAAACCACAATGTATTTTTAATGTAAGGCTCTTTTTGTAGGTATAGGTATACATACAAACAGCTGTAGACGAACCATTAATTAAATGTATTGTTTAATAATAAAAGATAATGTATGAATAATTAGGATTTGGGTTAATTTACGGGTAGGAATTTCAATAACTATTGCATCAGCTGCTAATCTTCTATTAGGGAAAAAAAGCCTGTTTCTTTTCTTTCATAACAAAAAGACAAAATTACTACGTCTGAGAAAAGAAGTACAAGTCATTTAGTCAGAGGGCCGATTTAACCGAAATGTTCGTGCCGGATCAACGAAATACGATCGTTTAGTTATTCAAAGTTTATGGTGAGACCATTTCCTAATGGCCTCAAGAAGGCTTTTACGTGTTAGTTAAAAATTTTAGGAAGGTTCAAAGACGTAAATATTAGCTCCTCTTGATTCTGGCGTTATAATGGCAGACCTTTAGCTGTTTTGAAGACGTCTACTTCACAAATATCCAGAATACATACGACAAGACTAAGATTTCTAACATTACACATTTATAAATTTTAGACCTTTTTAGCCTTAGCGCTTCTCGGACTTTTCTCGCTTTTAATTTTCTGATAGCTCGTACTTGAATCTGCTAGATTCTTTTTTGTATGCAATACGGTTTAATGGTATCCTAGTGAATAGTATGATATTGTTATTTCTCCGCTCTTAACGACGATTACCGCATCATTGATAAGCATAACGAAAATGATCTTGATAAAGGCATTTTCCAAATAGATTTCTTAGTAAGCTCAAGCTAATTCAACAGTTACCACAATTTGTGTAGGCATAAAAGATCACAAAATTTGCAAATACAGACAGCAACGGATTCGTTCAATTAGCGGTAGCGTTTTCTTTTATACGTCATAGATTACAGTATAACAAATTCCGCTCATATTCATATATATAATATATAATATTATATAATATATAATATTCATTGTGTTGCTATAAAACGTTTGCCGAGTTTCATAGAATGAAAAGGAATGCGTAGTGAAAATCTGCTAGTTTTTCATGCCTCATAAAATCAATACGTACATATACATGCTCAAATTTGTTTATAATGGCATTTGGCGGTCCACAGGTGGGGCTTCCCTGCACTTGTGATGACTGGAAAAGTTAGGTTACATACACACTGACCTATTGCCACGGTTGGGTATATTTAGTCGTCGTGCAAGTTCGAAAAGAAGTCAAAATGATGTAGGATTGTGCATAAAGTCAAACAGAAACGAACGTGTGTGTATGGTAATAAGCTCGCAATAATTTATGTAGAGTTTAAACGTAACCAAACTAACCAACAATGGATAATCTATAAATGTTAAACTATGAACTTGATATTTGGTTCATGAAGAACATACGAAAAAAATTTTTATTAAGTGCTATCTAAAAGGCCTAAGAAGACATAATGCACCTTTTAGCAGAACCAGTTCTACCTTGAAATTAAAATACGTTTTGCTTTAACAAGGAGAAGACTATCAAAAGTGTAGTTGCATTGATTGCCGCTTTCATAAAATATCCCTATAAGCTTATATAGCCTCCGCTGTTGTGTTCCACGGGCAGGTGAAATGTTTTTTAATTTGTTCGTTTGCCTACGTGTATTCAGGTTCAACCGTATTTCTGAGCCACCCCTGCCTAGCAAAATCTCACAGGTGAAAGAGTTCAGCGTCCCACCGACTAGCTTTACCATTCCCAGTCAGAACATGCCAATGGTATTTTAAAAACATTCGTTGCATAAGAAAGTAAGTGTTGTTAGTTTTTTTTTTTAATTTGAGCAGAAATGACATTCAATCCGAACTTCGTTGTTTTATTAAATATAAGTGGAATCGTATATATCGAGGGCGAGCATCAAACGAGCGCTCCTAGGTAAATCTCAATCAAACCAGATGGTTTTCACCACGCACTATGCTGGATGGTCTGCCAAGAGTGTTTCTTGAAGTAAAAAATCGATCATTTGAACTCATTATATGGGCCGTTATTCCAGTGCTCTATTAGAAGAATATCATCAGGGGAAATGCAGTTGAAAAGAGAAATGCGTGGGATCCTTTATATATATACTAATAATAATAAATTACTACTACGTAATTCTTTGTTCATTATCGATTTCCTCGCCGTTTCGGTTAGAAGAATAATTTTGGATCCAATTCGAGTATGGGGAGGATAGGATCTCACAGGACAAATAGCAGCAAGAGGAAAGAGTGCCTTTGCTAAATAACACAGTAGCTAAGTTGGCTTTTTTCACGACTTTTTTCATCTTTGGCAAGGAAAGGACATACACATAAAGATTTTCCGGCTACCGGAGTATTGAGGTTCAAAGGGGCGTCAAAACAAGGAGGTGCGAGGAAATCCAGGCCGAGATTCCGAGACTCAGAAAAACTGTTCAGTATAAAGCGTGAATGAAAACAAAATAACTTTGTTGGCAACGAGGAATTTGCACGAATTAAGGTAAAAACGTTTATAACTTTAAACTAGCTTCGAATCGAGTATAAGTTACAGCTAAGTGAACTTGGTAATTAATTTTCTTAGATATACTATAGATATATATATATATATATATATATATATATATATAATGGCATTCGAATTATGGAAAACGAGGATGATACGCGGACTAATTCAAATCTTGATTTGCAGTGCAGTAGGATTCGATTGTGAGTATTGCAAACCTTCATCAGCAACTTTTAGCAGTGTGCAGATAATCTCTTCATTGTTCGCGCCTTATCTGTTCCAGAGGGCAAAATTTCCTTGAGGCGAGGGGCACACTCGTAGCTAGGGCAAAATAAAGTTGATATTTCAGTGTTTGTTATATTCTTGTACATGCAAAATAAACCTGTGTACGCGGATACATTAATGTGTCGTTGCTGAGCCACGTTAAAAGGACGTCGGCCTTTTTGGGGGAATTCCGATAGTCGATGATGACTTTTTGAGCCTAAGTGCTCGAGATCATAAAAGCGCAACGTTTTATCGTCGAGTGATGGAAAAATTAAGACGGGTAATTAAGATAATGACAATTGAATATCTCTCTGAACTAATAATGATTTAGATGAATGCATATGGTGATTATTTTTATTTTGCTTTGCAGGAATTATTTTAGTTTATAGGATTGTTCAGGGTGGCGCTCAACCTGTCGAACTGAGACCGTTTTAAGCAAAACAACAACATGTTAATGTGAATCTTCTAATGTAGGTAGTTGTAAGATAGACTTGTTCATATTATTTCGCCGCTCAACAAATATAATATAATATAACAAATAGAATATAATATTTAGTATCCTAATCGAAATCAGTGCACAATTATTGTAGTATTTTTTTGTTTAAAACATTAAGCGTTTGCCAGATTTAATTACAAACGCGTAATTTTCGGTCTAAGTATAACGTTATCGAATAACTACTGACTACTTAGTTGTAGAGGATAATTAAGTAGACTACCTGGATAAGAGGAAACGTTTTGTATTAGCGATATCATATGCCAAGGGTTCGTCAGCAGCTAATACGTATGTATATTTACAATATGAACGAGAACTGAAATGGCTGTAGCCGTTGTTGCATTTACATTATTTTTATATTCTAACTAGCTAACCAAAACTAAACAATTCTATTGTGGCTAAATATAAGGTTGGAGTGGGCGCTGGGCCGTGTAAAGCATTGCTGATCTCCGTAGACGCCCATGAAGGTACCGGTGAATGTACTTCACAATACGGGGCCTGCGTGCCCACAGTATTCGCCCCCTATGCCCATAGGTTGCTTGATCGACCAAGCGCAGAAAGACACCAACCGATCAGACGAGGCTGCCGGAACCGAGCTTGCTACATGCGATGCGGTAAAAGGTCTGCCCATTGTGCTTCACCTTTGATACCTTTCTTAAAGCACAGGTTCAGTTTAATAACGTAGAGAAAGCTAGATACTACCGAAACGATTGTCATGGATAAATGTTTTAAGGTCATTAAGCTTCTAGTAAGTTTACAGGCAAACGTAAAAGGGTTTATTTATTTTAGATTGAACCTAGTATAAATACCTAACCCAGAGCTCTAAGTCTAGACATTCGAGTAGATGATAGGCGGAAGGTACTTCCGGTGTAATCGCGTGCTACCTATCAACACCGCATAAATGGTTGTCCTGGTAACGTTGACGTAAAGGCTTCATATGTTGCTGCATCGCTACAAGCCCTTCGGACAGTGCTATACCTATACCGGTGCGTCGCCACCAAGCGGAGTAGCAAAACGTGGCCATATCGACACCTTCTACCAATGGGTGCAAACCTAGTTGTTGTAGAAAAGACGAAACTAATAGAAACAAAGTATCGTTGAACAAATCTCAAGGCATAAGTAACATCCAGATTTGTTATACGGCCGCCATGGCGGTAAGTATTATAAAACTTGCGTTAAAGGCGCATGCCGATATGATATATAGATTATTATACCGATATATATATTATACCGATGCAACGTAGTCCGTACAATAAGATGAATTAAAATGTGTCTCTATTGAATCTGTGAGCGAGCCCAATCAAATGTGTACGTAACATAAGTTCTATTATCGATTCAACTATCTCAAGGAAAATTTACTTAAGAAGTGCTTCTAGTTCCGACAGTCCAAAATTAAAATGTAGTGGCATAACCATATAATCAACAAATCTTTTTAATTTTAGATATTTTCCATTAATGTTTATTTTTAATGTAACTGTTTTATATAATCTACATAGTAAATCCCTCAAGAAGTGTTGGGGTCTCAGTAAACAAAGCCATTTCTCCATGGGTTTATAGAGCATTGATACAGCACTGTATAGCTAAATACCAAAGTACACATAAGAGTGATATGGCGGACATCATATAGGCACGCATGTCATTGTATGAGAACTCCTAATTTGATTAAGGACGAGACATGTAAGTGCGGAGGAGCTTACTGTTTCCTTCAACCTCTACTCTCTCCTATTTACCCATCTCAAAAAGTACGCTGAATTAAGTTATTTAGGTAAAACTAAGTCTAGGTCCTCTCATACCGTACTACGCGAATGTCAATAAAATGGATAAAGTCAAAATTGATTAAGCATCTTAAAGGACCTCCTGTTCTCTGGCATCGATGATTTGGCCTGAGTCTCCAAGCCCCATATTACGTACCCTTCAGATAAACAGATGGAATAATCAAGTGAACGGAAAAATGATAGCACCTGCACGCATAATGAAGAAGTTCCAAGTACACCGACTTCTAGGTTAACAAAATAACATGTAGCGTCATAAACGAAGTCTCGTAATTCCAGGCTTGTATTGGAGAAGTCCCTTTCTTGAGTAGTTGTATCAGACCTGACAGTTTTATCATGGTTCCTACTACCAAAGCTTCCTGTAATGACAGACTATTAACAACATCAATAATTTTGCCTTGAGATAATCTAGATAAGTTGTTCTCAAGGAATTTTTACCCTTTTGGAACTTCGAAATAATCGAATAAATCGTATCGATAACGGGAGCGTTCCAACTAATTACATCCGTTTCAGGTAGCTCCTTTGAATATGCAGGACAGATTCTGCTGTAAATTCAAGCTGTAAATATACCTTTTAATCGATAATTCTGTATTTTAATGTGAATTTTGTATAAAGTCTTGCCCACATCATACAAGGCCACAAATAAAAACTTGTGGTTCTAAACACTTCTATTTGTATCTACGAAGGCCTTCAAATTACGTGATATGTTAATTTTTTTTTTGTTATATCTGCGTATATTGTCTTAATAGCATAATTCCGACTGCTGTCATGTCTTTTGAGGATTATCAAGGAATTCATTCAAATGAGAGTGCAAATTTGAAACTTGATGTTATGGGCTGTCTCACTACCTTTGTAGACCTTGTTTGCTGTACATGCAAATTTCTTACGAAGATCGCTATCTCTGTGCATCACACAATCGGTATTTGCTCGTCTATTACCTTTTATCTGTGATAAATTAAATCTAATAAATTCCAACTAGTAGCTTAAACAAATATACTCAGCTTTCTACTGTTTAAATGCAATAGACTCTCATTATATTTAATTGCAGACATATAGAATACTTATGCTTACTTAGGTATCGAATTGGAAATTTTCGGTAGAATTGGCTTATTACATGTAGATACGTATTGTGCGTTCGTTGTATGTATGGCCGTTCCGACAAGCGCCCTCAGAATTCAACCTTTGAGAAAGAAGTTTCTTAAATGCTTAAATGAAAAAAAAAACAAAATTTAAAAAAACTACAAACGATTTTTATAGTTTCGTTGGACATGCGAAAAATTGGAAAATAAAGGTCGTAACATTGTCTTTCCTTCTTTCAGCGCACCTGTCGTGCAAGTCCATGGCTGGTCACTTTCTTAATGGCGGAATTTGCAACAGGTCAGTTTTTTGGTTTCAATTCTAATTTTGTCTAAAAAAAAGTTAAGAATAACCAAACCATTATCATAACACAGTGAGTGCTGCTTCCAAGCTTAAGAACAGATTGGTAAAAGCTGCTGACGCTGTGGAAAAGATTTGTGCAAGCGAAGTCTTCTCGAACGCGCCTTTGTTCTACCCAAAAACCTTGAACGAAGAATAGTTCTTGTGCCTTAATAATACCGTCCATTTCATGGGTAACAATTCGACCATGTTCATTATGTTAATTGGCCGTTATGTTGGCAGATGTGTTTACCGGTCGCTGCGTCACTTGACCGACCTCAGTATTGTGTAGTAACAAAGTCTACTGTGGGGAGCTAGACATATATATATATAGCTGATTGCCAGTAGAGGTCACTTACCAGTCGAAAATCAATTGTAACGGTAAGTTGTTGGTAGAGAATAAGAACATAGAACGGATTCATGACTACTGAAAGACATAAAAACCAGCATTGCGTAGATTTAAGTTGTGTCAATTAATGTAGTACCTTAACGCCTACAAAAATTACATTTATTTGATGGTGTATATTCATTTGAAAGGGTAAGGTCGGCACTTGGCGAGGTGTTTTGGGTAAGCCATGTAAACACTTCAGACGCTTAAAGCTACGAAACAGAGAAGCTTGCAGTGACTGGGCGGTACGTTTTATCTTATCGAGACGTGCAATGGACTTTATGAAAACGGATACGAGTAGGGGCCAAGTAATTTCGCTCAGCTACAGATTATGCCAACTCTTTAGCGTGCATCGCCTAGTCGAATAGTCGAAGTATGCTTATATGAAGGATGGTGAAGGCTCTAAGGCCTAGATCGGAGCAGTTAGCTATTAGCAGGATGAAAAATAAACCACGTTTGCGTTCGCAGTGCCATCGTTACAACATGTCCACACATGCAGCATGTAATAGAAATTTTCTTGTGTAGGACGTATTACGCATTACGGAGCTGGGCAGGACGAAAGACTGCGCTGTCTACAGTCGGTTAATTAGCTGAGTTAGTATGAACATTTGCATACCGGCTAAACGAACCTTGAATGGCCTCTATTTACGACATGGCATGAACTTCTAGCTCACACATCTAAACCTGTTAAGTAGAAGAAGTGCTGCCAATGCCTGTGTTCGAGTCATTTTGGTAAGCCAGCAGCACTACAAAACGTAAATAGTGTGCTGTATTTGACGCAAATTGCGGCTGAAGAAAAGTAAGTACTATTGTATATAAACCGAATGTTTAGAAAATCACGCAGTTCTGTAGGACCATGAATCCGAGTGATGTTTGTACCGTAATTCAACGTTCTGACGTTAATAGTGACAGTGAAGCCGAGTATGCATTCTATTCTGTTCATGATTTACGTTTTTGTGTTTTTATATTATTTACGTGTTAACAGTGTTTGGCCTGAAAGACGGTGACTGCCTACGCCCGGACGCAGCGGCCTCGTTCGTAAACACCCCAGGCGGATATGATCCCTTAAAAGGCATCGAAAGCACGCACTGCGCCAGCCTCTGCGCTGGCATACCAATGCCCTACGCCGGGATCCAGTATGGGAAGTTCTGTCTTTGCTCTAATGACGTGTTCGGTAAGACAATTTATTTAATTTTAAACTATTTAAAACACAATAATTTATTTAAAAGAGGAAATCGATAACATAGGTAAACAAACAAATGATACTATAATCATATGAAAAGAAATATTATTTTGAAATACCGTACGAGGATTGTAGATTTACTGCAGGGATACGTGTACAATAAGACTGTTACATATAGTTCACACAAATAGCTACAAAATATTCAAGTGCATATAACATATATGATGTATACCTGAATTTAAAGCAAAAGTCTTAATATTATCGCTGCTGTTATCAAATATTACCATGGAGGGCACCCAATATTTCATCGCCGGGAACGTGTCAAACTCCATTTACGATTCCTGCTCCTTATGTAAAAAATTATTGCCCTGCTAATACGTGCAGTTTGTTTTTTTTTCGAAGATTAGAAAAGATCTATATTTTTTTTCGAGAAATTTTTTCTAAACATTCTAGGGTTAGCTATGCTGTATAGTTCGCTCACTATCACAGAACAGGGTATTTTGCACAAGCCTCGTGCGTACATTTTTTCTCTACCTTATCTATACAATTTTATTCAAGTGTAGGCGCTATACTCCGCACAGTAGCAGTACTTTAGACAATTAAACAGTTGTGCACAATCATCACTTTTTTTAGTAATCGAACATGAGAACTAAGGGCTCATTCGATTGCGTTGGCAAAAAGCTAACTAACTCAATAAAAACAATTACGAGAAAAGCCTAATACCGTCAGTGGAAAAACGTTTAGATTTGAAAGTTACGCATATAAGCAGACCTAATATCACGTTTTATTTACACACGATTACGAGGAACGAGTCGTGATTGCAGTCTTCTCGTAGTTCAAAATAGAGTTTTATAACAAATCACACAGAAATTCGCGTACCATTTCAGCAAACGTTGTTACGTCATAGTATTTTTTCAAAATCGGCTTGTAATAGTCAATCTTGCAGTCATTTAAATAGCTGGATTATCTTTATCCTTCATTCTGCCAAGATGCTATCAGTAAATACAATAAAACAACTAGTCTATGATAAGAGCATGTTTAAGTACCTTTTGAAAATCCTTGGATGCCAGAGACGCGTGAAAGCTTTTCTCTGCGTATTCAAACTCTATGGGAGAATTCCGAATCATTTTCTTTATCCCACCGAGTCAATTTGAGCAGTTAAATTAAATATTTTTCAAAACTTTTAGGCACAGCATATAGAGAACAGTCGTTCTAAGCTCAGTCGTATCGAACGGCGTCATTGTTATTACAGTGTTGAATAGTCTATGAAACTATGTTTAATAGACTATAACCAGACCCTTGTCGACACAACCTTTCCTTTACAAAATTTCTGCTCAGCTACTATGGCGACCCGAAAAGTATGGGTTAAGTAAATCAGATATGAAAATTTCCATCTGTGCTCTATAAGTTCACGCAAAATGTACGTACATTCAATGTCTGAAGACGTAAGCAACCGGATACGAACAGTCGATGTCCAACAAAGGTAAAAGAAACTTAGGACGGAAATGTATTAAGGGTCAGTTCAGCCATTTCACTATCTGGCCACTGCAGATAAAGGCGACATCTTGAAGGAGCACCTGAAAACCTTCACGTTGCCACCTGAACATAGTGCAGAGCGCAAAAAGTTTTCGTTTCCAACATCGATGGGTAATTTTAATGACAGCGCCTTCGACAAACGATTTCGTAATCATCAGGTTTTCCAATACATCGAAACATAGAACCGTAAACTATAAACTTATATTTCTACGTTATACGTGGGCATGCAGCCTTTTCAATACAAATTAGCATTAACAGCTTTAACTATTATTACAAAACTATATATTCTTAACATCTACCACACGAAGGACTTCGATTTCGATTTTATGTATTCGAATCCTACGTTGTTAAACTACGACACAACTTTGATAACTACTACGTTTTACCTTCTTGGGTGGAAAGACACACATTTTTGGCCGCTAGCATAGTCCTCGCTGTTAACAAAAAAAAATCCTTTTTTTTTCCACGTTTTCTCACTTTTAGTGGAAAAGGCGGTTGCAGCAAAAGATGAGGTTTGCGACAAACATCCATTTGCAGTTCGATTCTACTTCTCGTCACTGTTCACGCCGATTGAGAACATACGAGTGATGCCCTCACAGTCATTAGTGGCTGTTGGAGAGGAGGTTTCTTTTTATATTGCGGTAAGTCGTATAATTTTCGTCGTATCGTTTTCATTTTTGTAATATGTATTTTGCTGTATAAGGGATGCCTGGCGTTTTTTCGTGAATAAGTATGCTGAAGTGAAGGGCATAAGGAATACTAACCCACAACTTCTACAATAAGAAAAATAATCGTAACTTCACAAAAATAAAGGTATGGTTTAAAACTGAAGTCCATTTTACACTGTGACGTTTTGTTTAATTTGGGCCTTTTTTTCTGCATGATTTAATATTGCTTTTGATAGGCAGAAAGTAAAGTGGAGCTCTTAAGGATTCGCCTTAAAGTGTAAGCCATTACAGCTAAAAATAATTACTAGGTAGTGTAACAGCAGGGTATAGTTAAGCTCAACATTATAATATGAGTGAACTATCTTTCTCCTGCCTTAAGTTAAGCCAGTGATTAAGTTTATGCCCATTACGAGATTCTGTGGATAACTATTTGAAGCGGGTAATTATGATATGGAATGAGTGGGTGCTACGCGTGAAAAGCGAAGCTATTAAGTGTGTATATGTGTGTTAATGTATATATTTAGATGAAGCTTTTCCTATAAATTCTTTTTAAGCTACACATTTTTCTTTCATATGCTAAAAGTGTCGTTTCTAATGGTCCTGTTTGATCAGTATAACCACCATTAACCGCGATTATACCTTCAATTTGAGATTTAAACGGCTTACTGATTGTTTTTAGCGTATTCTTTCCTTAATATGCAAATAATTTTTTCTTACTAACCATGCATCAAGCGATATTAGTGGATGGAGTGTCGCTGCGATATCTTACATATGACAATTTTATTCTTATAAATGTATTTATTAAAAAGCAAATTCTGAACTGAGGGCAAATCAAACATGTTAATGTGTAAAATAACCGAAAAAGTCCAAAAGTCTATTAGGTTTAAAAATGTATGTGGTCTATATATAGGTATTACCTTCTGAGTAAACGGGAGACAGTTCGATCGCACACACCCGCAAAGAAGTCATCGCTCTCTCTGAGTCGTTAATCTGTCCCATGGTGATACATTTTAAGAAAAAGAATGGAAAAGTAAGACCGAACTATGATGTCTTTCTTTTCTCGCAAAACGAGAAGGATGCAGATACGAGATTCATGACCATCGATGCAGAGTGCAGCAGGGAATATCGCCTTAATAATAATAAATATTGATGCGCCTCCGATAATCAAGAGAAAGGAGGCGTCTTGTATAGAGGGCTATTTACCATGTCTTCATCTAATGTCTTCAGCACTTCGATGTCAATCCGGCAACACCACGCGCATGGAAGTACGCTAGAACAAACAGGTTCCTTTCCTGTTTTGAAACGCTAAAAGTCTTCACGATTTAAGCTGGAGACCCAATCATTCTACCAGCTTATTCGTTACGTTTGGTGTTTCTAGTCCGATATCGAGAATGCTCTTGAACATTTGTACTTGACCAAAACTGAAAATACGTAAGCATAGCGGGTGCAAGCACCTTTTATGTATTTACGGACAGCGGATTTAGCGGGTTTCGGATATGGCGCCGGCGCTAAAATCAAACACAATATAAACATATCTAACAAAGCATTTCACATGAAAACATTTGTGTGTAAAAGCTACTTTTCTAAGTCAAAGGGCTTCTGCCAGAAAGAAAATCATAAATTTATTCGTAACCATTTGAATTTAACTAAGAATGCGCTCAAGCCGATCGAACGCTACATAAAGATGCCATTCGCCGTACTATAGAGCATGAAAAGGTGTTAAACTTTTCGCCAGTCTAAGGTTTTATGCCTTCAACACGAGCTTGCGAGAAAGGCAATAAACAGTGCACTGCTTAAGGGCAGTTGACTAGCCGCCAACAGGCGTCAAACAGAAATTGCATTGGCGTAACCTACATAGATACAAGAAACTAACCCGGTGGCCATCATGACACTGCTAACTCCGTCAGCCTGGCAGTTGTTACTCCGAGTCTGTACGGTATACGCATATCTACGCATGCTTATTCACAAACGTTGACCTAGTGACTCATTCGTATCGTATTGTCCTTATTAAAGGATGTCGCACGCTAATATTTAATACAGTAACATTTCATATCTAATGATACACTTGGTATTAATGAATACTTTCGCGAGAACTATGTAGCTGTAATAAAACAATAGAAACTGACTCGTGTTTTTTGCCAGACCTCATCAGGCAAGGATGCCCACGTAGTTATCGACTTCGGAGATGGCAGTGAGGGAATCAACGGCAGTCTATCAATGGAGCCGAAATATATCTATTGGAAGCCTGGTCGATACAATGTTCAGGTCATGGCCAAGCCTTATACGGCCCACGACGTGAGTAATTGAGAAAAATTGCAGGGATATTAGAAAATAATGATAAATAAGAGGACTGTTTACTGCGGCTACGTGTAGTTTGTTACGAATAATCGTCAAATTTCAACAAAGAAGGTACCTCTCATAGTCTTATTTTGTACATGGAAAAGTGCGGGAATAAGTGGAAATGAGGCCATATTGGACCTATTGCAGATATATACTGCGTTCGCGCACACCACCGTGGTTGTAACTACGAGTCCTGAAGAACAACACATTGCGTGGGCTTGCCCTGTCCTTGTCGAGCCAAACGTCAAGTTTCAGTGTCGCCTTGACGTTCTCAAAGGCACTGACCTCAGTCTCGAGTTTATGCCTGGCGATGGCACTGGAAGCAAATCACGCAATATACCTGGTAAATTAAACAAATAGAATAAAAATATTTGTCTCATAAGGCAGCTTCTGCATGATATGTGTGTGCGTTTACACATCGAGTCTAGGACTTCATACATACAACTGGGCTGCATAATCCCTTTCAACTGTAAATGCTATATAGGAAAATGTATGAAAAGCTTCTGGTCTGGTCATTTGCAGATGGTGATATTTTGCTATTACGTATTGCCTGAACTGACTTTGAGCTTCATATTATAATCGGCTGTACTAATTAAATGTAGAAAGTATACACGCGCTTAAAGATCTCTCGAATACCTAAAAGCAATCTTTCTATAGACTTCGGACGAGCGCCAAAGGAGAAAAACACACATATCCCAGACTGCTTTATGCTTGAGTTAGAACATTACGAGCACGGCCATAAGATGGCTTCTCATGCATTTTTCGATTTCTTCTCAAAATTGAGTTAGCCTTAAATGAAGGCTGAAAGTCAATAGCTAAACATTAAAGTTTAAATGAGCGCGTGTTTTATTCGTACTCTACTTAAAGAGCAATTAAAGGCCGTATGGGTTATACTTGCAACTTATGTAACTAGAGGACAGGCTTCTTCGAAGCAGAAATTCCGCTCCACTTAACAATAAATATCGTTTACCTGTGAGCATTCATGTGGCAACACGTCTGGTAGTCATATAGAAGTATACATAAAAATCATCTTTGCATCACCAACGCACGATACCCATCTCTGTAGTTATATAGGATTTATAGATGTCAGCCCTTCATGTAAGCCAAGTTAACTAGGGCTGTTGTAAGCACTGTAACACTGTCGTGTATTAACCACTGTTGACGATTGAAATTTAGTAGTACACTGGTTTATTAGGAATCGAATACGCGAAGTTTTTGATCCTAATATTTTTATTATTGTCAATTTCTTGAAATTAAGAAACCGTACTATGCATCAGAAAGTCTACAATATATTACAGAGGAAGGTTACACGCAGAACAATTTGAACGCCTGTAAGTGAATGCGGAACATTAAGGTCGATTTAGTATAATCGCTTGTATTTTTTTTTGTCAATAACTTATAGGTGCATCTCTTAGCCTCATTTATTACATTTACAAACGGTTCATAAGTAACTGCTAACTGATATTAACTTCGCAAGGTGGAGATATATAATGAGAAATATTTTTTACACGAAATTTGAGGTTTCTAGACATATGATAAATATACATTTATTGTATATCTAGAAATTATTTAGGGTAATCAAATGGCATCATGTTGAAAAATAAAAAAAAAGCCAAAAACTACAGAATCGTAGCGGTGGACCGAACTCAGGATCTCGAGAATGTCGTTTAGGAGATCAGGTCATACTGCAGAGTACTTTGGTGTACATACCACCTACAGACATAGTAGATATATCGGCGTTCTACGCTTTTGAGAAGCTTGAATTATAGTAAATTAACGCGATCACAGGAGATCGAAACTACATAGTTTTGTTGATGAATAACCGTGGAACATTTTTACTTTGCTTGTTGTTTGTTGGTTTCTCTCGCTTGTAGATGTCTACCCGACGATTGTCGGCGAACGTGTCCCACAGTTTCGGACACAATCGGTCGTACTCTCCGAAGAAAACGCCGTGGATTCAGCGATTCTTCCGAACGCGCGCGTACTTCACAAAGGAACTGTTTTCGCGTTTCAGGGATTCGGTGCCGTTCAAGGAAAGCTCGATATGCTCGTAGGTAGCACAGAGAGGACTGCACGCTTCTTGTTTCTGGTTGATAGACGATGCCCAAATCGAACGATTGGCTTATTATAAATAGAACGGAAATGAATTGTTTATAACACTAGAGGGAGCATCATAGTTCACAGAATGGGTTGCTACCGATATTGGTTAGATTTTTACGACTCGTGCGTCTCGTATCGAAGGTCCGTTGAGGTATATAGAGTTTTTATATTCTATTCCGCTGAAAAACTATTAAAATCAAAGAAAACAAATTTCTCTGCAACACAATGAATTTATCGCATATTCTTGGCAAGCTGAACATTTTTGCTAGATCCAAAATATTGTCGGTTAACCTCAAGACACGCACAAAGTATTATATTTATATATATATAAATATCATTCCAGTTTTGTTAGAAAAATCAGGGCAATTTTACTTGTTAGATAATCCCCGGCTAAACCATTTGAATGTTCTCACAAGTTCTTTATTTACGCAATATTCGACGACCCTGCTTCTAGCCGATTCGGTCTGATGGTGAAAGCAAAATGGTTGTGAACTTCCTCTCGATCTTTAATAATTTAACGTAAAATACAATATTTGTCAGTAACTACGTGTTTACGAGTCATACGCCCATTCGACAGAAGTGGCGCAGCTGCGAACTAGGCAAGTTGTCCTTCCAGGACGTGTTCTCACTGCGTGATATCTCGGCATAAAAAAGACAATTCACGTTCAGGTCCGTACTTTTGTTCCTACCGTGCAGTTAACTGTTAGTTTACTACTGCGAAGCCAGCGGTAGGTCCGGACCATGCTCTATAGAGAAAGACATGATACGAATAAAAATAGATGTCTCAGTTTTTAGCTGACTGGATCTTGTCACACTAACTTTCCCCTTTGCTATCGACAATTCGTACATAGTTACTTGCCAGATATGTCTATCATTTAGTCTTTTGAAAATATTAGTCGCTTCCTAACGCGAAGTGTAAAACTTTACAGCGGACTGGGGGACTAGCGAGCGTGTGTCACAACGAGGCCTATTATTAATGAAGTCGACGCTCCGGGTGCTTCTGCGCTCGATCCTTTCTTGAAAAGGGGCTTGCACTCACGATACGATGAAATATAGAAGATTTTTGCTTCGCGGAGAATAATAAAAGTGGTCTGAGGAGTTGGGCGCGAAAAGAGCCGAGGATTCGATGTTGGATCTGTTTGCCGGCAATAATCAAACGAGTACAGTTAACACAACCTTTTCGGTCATACGATTAGGATTACCTTTGTTAGTATAAATGCTAGAGATATCATTTACGAGAGACAAACAACAACAAACGAACAAACAGAGATTTAATATGAACGCCATTTGAAATTAGTCGTACAATTTGAGCGATTCTTAGAGCACGTTTATAAATAAATAGAATAATTACGAAGTAGAGCTATCCCTTTTTTTTTTTTAACTTACACGCCTATTTTAGGCTTTGTTGATGAAATTGCGACGGAATTTGCTGCGCTGCTTGTCATAGTCGGCGTACGTTAGCTTACGTTTTTAGTACGCAAAGAAAATCAAATCTTTTTAGTGCAAAGTCACATCCTTTTTATGAAATCGCTACCAAAACACTACTACCTTACAAAAATCTTTGCACAGTCGACCGTCTCTACTGTTGTCGGCTGTTATGCAATTTTCTAAGCAACGAGAAATGTTTTTGCAGGTCAAAGCGGGAAATCTATAATAGAGCATCGAATGAAAGAACTGAAAATTCATCAAATAGGGCATAAAAACTATTTTTAATGATACCGAAATTTTTATGCAAAACATCGACGGTATTTTTTAGATTAGATTATCTTTTGTAAGTAAAGTAAAGTAATTCATATTAGCTGAAGCGGTTCGTATCTTTTCGGCAAACTCTTGATACTGATATTACTATTCTAACGGGCTTTGTGCAAAGGTACGGCTGTGATTTATTCTTAAGCCGGTTTATTCTATCTGCTGGCCTTATATGAAATTAAAGATCTTTTACGTTATTAATTGACAAGATAGGCCAGCATTGTAAAGGAGAGTACACAAGTTACTGCCAAATAGCTCCGACCCTAGTTGTCCAAATAATCCGCTACATTATAAAGTCTTATATACAAATGTCACTTCTATCCGTTTCCTATATCAGTGCATAGAAAGTAAGCAACCTATCTCATACTTCAAGTTCAGTAAATAGGGCTGTGCTCTCATCGATCACCAATTGAAAGCGTATTTGCGTTGAAGACACAAATAGTGAGACTTTAGGAGTTTTGTGACCACGATTATCTCTTGCAAGCATACCCCAATGGTGTTTTTAGTTACCCCTCCTATAATAAATATGTACGACCTTTTCGAAAGTGACTATCGTGAAATTCCACAGGATAGCAGTTACCATTTCTCATCGCAAACAGGCGTACAATAAAAGAAAAAAAGGCTCAAAATTCTCAGCGTACTCATCAGTTTTTTTCGGTCAGAGAATACTCCAGTACTACAGAGCTTCAGAGTCAATCGAGCTGCCGTTTTGCCTGATCTAACCTAAGCTCTGCGTCGATAAAAAGCATTCGTGTACTTCTGGTTAATGGTAATCAAGCTGACAAGTAATTAATGACGTAGAACGGCCCTCCACATTGCCTATATACTCAAAATAACGAAATGGATTTTTAAAATTAATTTACATCTTACAGTTTTAAAACGAACTCCTTTTTAATGGCAAGGTAACGACCCTAAATTTACGCGCTTCTGAGTAAAGCGGGCAAAAGAGAGCCGGCTGGTTTTGTGGCCGCCACAACTGTGACCGTATGTGTTTTGCTTATCTCGGATTCATCTCAATTCGCAAAAATATTTAAAGATTGAATTATCTAATTCCAAGGTATTTTATGCAGCTTTAATTGGGGAGCACGTTCTCGTGCTGGGACGGTTTAGTGCTGAAAAATTCTATTCTCGAAGAGAAGAGTTGACCAATACAGCTTCCCTATGAACTGCTATGTTAAACCACTTTTCTTAAATATTTTTCTCCCATTTTGAAGTACGATTACATTACGAGGCTTTTATCAGCAATTAACAATGTTTTTCTAATTTACCTATGTATAGATAGCTTCAGCTTAGCAAAAATACTTTGTTGGTCTCCTTTTCAGCTTCTTCGGCCAGCGTGCCTTGGCTGCTCGTTTGAAGACGACATTGCCAAATGTGAGGGCAGTACTGGCCTTTGTCTTTCGAAAGTGGCCTGTGTCGATTTCGACATGTGTCCTAAAAGAGATGTAAGTAACCGGTGCAACAATTCAGTCGAGTGGAAGGCGTTTTTTTTTAGCCATACAATCCCAGACGTTGCCAATACCTAATGGGATGAAGCTAGCTAGAACATTTACGATACTTCATTCAAATTCGATCAAAATGAGATTCCTTTTTCTAATGCAACCTACGTTTAATTAACTGTTTCAATTATAGGTTAGTGAAGTTTATAAGATCATGGCCGTCGTACCGATCCAAGTAAAAGATGGGTATTTTATCCATAAACTTCAAAAAACGTTGCCGGTTGAAGCTGGAGATATATTTGGCTTCACAACGGCTGCAGGACGTCTCGCCTTCCGCAATGTATGTCAGTCGTTATATACACATTTGACAAACACAGCTTTAATTTATATGCAAGACAATATATATAAAAGCTAAATATATGTTCCCCAGTGTAGTGACGATGCCCTAATACCGACATAACTAGGGTTTACTCGGACAACTTTTCCTTATATAGCAGTACCGGCGGTGGTTTTAATATATTGCCTCGAGATCAACCACGCGACCCTCATGTATTTCCCAACTACGACCGTGACCCGTCTGTACTAGTACTACTATGCAATATTTCAATTCAGTTTTGTTTTAGTTTAGGGTAATATTCATATATAAATAAATGATGATTTCGCAAGGCTATATAGACTTCGCAAAGGTTAGAAATAACTACTAAAGTACACATCTTTCTTAAGCTCGATTATAGGTAGAAAGGCAAATGACTGTATAATATAGATTGTGAACGTTTTAATGTCACATAGCTCCATTTTATGCCAGGTCCCGATGGAAGAGTCTGATCTGGGGAAACGGAATGGTCTTAAAGGTCAAGCAGTGCGTACAGATGATCTCACTATGAAGGAGCAGCGTTTCCTTGTATCTGCGCTTGTCAACACGCCCCTGAATCTCACATTCGAGTACAAGTACGGAGATGCAGGCGCTTACGAGGTAAATCCGACACTATGCTGTAATTAAATTGTGTATTGAGCTGAGATAATTACAAAATGACATGGGAACAATTTAAGGCGGGCGTCTATACTGCTTCTATACCAGGCAGTGTGTTTACGAACGTCTTGTTTCGTGTTCTAAGCCAACCTTTTAAAGCAATGCTTAACCGTAGTACGGCATGTAAAACTGGAGACTGTTTTTCGTGGCGCGGTATAATTCGATAACAAACAATGGATGGGTCTGCTTCGAAAAAATGGTGTCATTTTGCTTTGAATTTTTAAATTGTCCCTGGACAACATCAAACGTCCGTCGAAGTGAAAGCAGCGATAAGTAAATACTCTTTCAATTCTCAATACAATTGCGTTTTTCTGTCCGAACTCGAACAATCGCTTTGTTTTATGATTTGCCCTTAGTCTAAATAGTACTATCCTCATTAGCCTGTTGGAATTACGTGCCGCCCAGCTGGATTAACGTTTAGATTTCTTAGTTAACAAGATAGTGCAGCGTCACATCGCTTCAAGGTCGAACGGTTCGATGCGCTGGAGTTTTCATATCTATGGGTCCATGATAATTTGACTCTTATTCATAAAAGAAAAAAACGTTCTGGGTGCATGAAAATCGTTTTGCCTTCACATAAGCTATACATTTATCTAGAAGGTCGTCTGTATCACACCAAACGAGAAATGTTATCATTAAATTTGAAACATTTCTATGTGACGATTATTTTATAAATGACATCATCAACTTCAAAAACGGCAAAGTTTATAGGAAGCTCTCCCAGAAACAGTCTCAGTTTGGAGCATGTCCAATAGTACGTTTTTGCAAATGTTAAGTATGTTTCCAGACCGAAGAAGCGTATCGAACATACGAACGTTCCTCTTTTGGATGCGGCTCAGATATAAGCTGAAGAAACAGTTGTATCTAACCACTAAATCTAAAGATAATTCAGCATCCATTCAATCGCATCGTTGTGCCCCTTCAGATAAAATCGTTAAGCTTTCGAACAATATAAAAATGTCGGAACCACGGATTTTTGCCAAAAATTCAAGACTCTTAATTATAAAGCATCTACGAATTGAAAAGTAAATTATTTTTGGATATTTCATCGACACCAAAGAGCGAGTTCGGCACAAGTTTTTTGCCATGTCATTCCATCTGCATGCATTTTTCAGAGTGGATATGGATAAGGGTGATCATGTCCTTGGTGAAACGCCACATGAACACAATATCAACCGACCGCTAAAGAAATAATCAACCGCCGTCACCGCATAAACACCCCTATATCATGTCCACTATATTGAGAATAAGCGGCCGGCCAAAGTAAAGGCTCATCATTCAACAATGATCCCTGGGTAAAAAATGTGCTCTATTAATGATGATGATGGGGGGCCTATAAATTTAGAGTTTCGCATTAATATATCGAACATATAGTATACATATGATAACCGTAAACAGTATTTAACCTTTTTTGATTTGAAAATGCCCTTCTTTCTTAGTTACGGCGATATGCATAAAACGTCTGATTTTCCCGGTAGCAATATATATCTCATATTTTAGACTTATTGTGTGGGCTGTCTTAGGGAATGGATAAACGTTCCAAGTAAGAACATTCTAACGTGCCATCTATAAGGGAGCGAAGCGAATTGTTGCGCAGGATTTTTCTGCGAGCTTCGCGAATAGGTGCCTAAACACCAAGCGAGAATGGCAAGAAGCAATGATAATAGGAATTTTTAAAGCAAGAAAGATGTTTTCGTATAAATATCGAGCAATAACGGCAACATACGACGATGCTTTTGTATGCACAGTGGCAAATATGACTGCCTAAATGTGAAGTTGTTTCACTATCACTTTCTTCGTTCTATATATATATATATATATATATATATATATTCGTTCGCACTATAACTTAATTCGTTGACAAAAAGCTTAGAAACAGGTCTCTCGTATTCATTGACTGGATCTCTCCAAACTGGCATACCCGATTTGAATTGCCCGCGATTAATAGTGACTGAGTAGTGTGCTATACAAAGCAGATCAAGCGAAACGAAATAATTTTTTCTGTCGTACGCATGAATCATGTCGAGTATCTACGAAGACATGCCAGTTTCGATACGATATAAATCCCTTTTCTCTCTCTGCGGCGGCTTTCGAAATAACAGGTAGCTATCAATGTGAAAAACCGATACCACGAGCAAGTGGTACGTCAAATGGCCGATGTTAGTTCTCAGCAGAAACTGACAGCTTTTAAGTTGGATATTTCTCAAAGCACAGTACCAACTGGAGCCGAAGTTACCGCCACGGCTAAGATGTTCGGAGGAAGTGACCTGACCATGATCTGGAACTTTGGAGATGGCCACGTTGAGAAACAAGATATTACAAGTGAGTGGTAGGCATTATCACTATAGAAATGGTTTCAGGTGCCGAAATAATGAATTATCTTCGTCGCAGGATCGGACATCATCTGCACAAACTGAATCACCTTATCACTTTTTCAAATTAGGAAATACGTCCGACTGAAGAAGGTACGGATGATTTTTACGGTGCTGATTCGAGTTCGAAAGGAAGGTCGTGTAGGAATTTTATCCTTGAAAAAGAAGCAAGATACCTTTATTTAAATCGCAGTGAATATCATACGTTCATCATATTGTTCCTAAAATGTCAGGCCCGCTACAATGGACAGGGTTGTCTTGTAAAAATGCGTGAACCATTTTACGAACAGGTGTCAGGCATCGGCCTTCTATATATTTTTCTAAATTGAAGCATTGGAACTGTAGTCACCGGTGTTCTATATGTGCTACGTTAACATTTTAGATATACAAAAGTATAGTACTATTTCTAGAAACGGCAGGCTAAAACAAACATTTGTTTCTGCTAGCCAAATACTCAGTATTAAGCTTAACAATAGACGTGATTACTGATATGGTTTTCGCGCTGCGAACGGCCTCATCAAAGTTGTAATTGATATATATATATATATATATATATATATATATATATATATATATATATATATATATATACTGGGAAATAAAACCTTAAACTGAAAAACGAAAATGTCTACCACGTGAATTTTCAATAAAATCAATACAATAATTTGTCGTAATGAACCTAATACCCATTTAGCGTTTTTCGACCCAGTGTGATCACAATGTTTAATCTTAATTAATTAATAATTAAATAATTAATATATTTCGTTTAGGGTTTGACGGACGAATTTTCTGTCTAACTGATACTGCTATTTTTTCTTGTGCTGTCATTTAGCCGTTCAGACTGGTCAAAAGTTCCACCGTGTACACAAATATGCGGAAGCAGGAGTCTACATAATTCAGGTAAAAGGCTAAACACCATATGGACTACCTATATTGAACTTTGTGATGTATGTGTGTACGTTTAACCGCGCATTTAAGAAGATAGTACAGCTTTACCGGGATCAGACCGCCCAATAGTGTCATAGAAAAATTCGATGTCCCCGTTAATCGGTATGCTTAACCCGTAAAAGGACCTTTTTCAGGTTGTTAGGAATAATGTAACCATATCGTACGGAATTTTTCGTCGTGCTAGCCTGACCTGAATGTAGAACTCTTGCCAACAACGGACTACAGCCTGACCTGAGTAAAATATAATCGCAACAGACACTTTTTCATCTTTAATAACATAATTTGAAAGTAGTTTATTTTTTTGAAAGGGCAGAGAAACAGGGACGAGGCAGTGTTCCGAAGATAAGTCATAAGAAAACAACTGAGTGTCCCAATTGTGTCCTTCGGCGCTGTAGGGTTCACATTTCGTCATCTGTGTATGTGCGGGGTCGCCGAACGGCAAACGCTTCCCAATGCATTCGCAACGAAAGCATACTCTATCTTGAAAAATGTATCTAAATTTGGCTTTGTTTAAAAATGAAGAAGAGCCTTTATCAAATCTAAAGTGTCTTGGGCTGGTGAATGGCTCAAAATGACATTATGTATAATCAAGAGCAATTTTCCACCACAATTAGCATGAACAGCGCAACTGGCCTGCTTTTTATAAGTCTCTAGATAAAATGCGGACTGTTAATGGTATGGATATGAGCGGAAACAGCTTATTTCATTTATTGACTACGATGTAAGGTCCAGAAATTCAGTTTGGCTGGTCCTAGGCGGTCCCGTATTCTCCAATATAATAATGTTTCAAAACGTACCATCATCTGATTAAAAAAAAGGCGCCTAAGTCTTCCCGTGACGATGTCATCGTAAAATGTTGCTATACTAAACTCAGGAATACGTGGCAAAATCTGGGTTCGGGATTGGGCATAGACACATATTGTTTCATGCTGAAGCGTCCAAAGCGAAGGGCGTGACACTGAAAAACTTTTTAATAATATTAGGTTTTTCATTGGGCTATCCAATAAATTTTCAAATAATATATAATTTTATTAATCCCATATGTGGAATTGCCGTTATGTTTTCGATGCGGCACTAGAAAACTGAAAGCAAATGTGGCCATTATAGCTTCAGAGGAGGGTTAAGCAAAAAATTATACGAAATCGTTTAATATTAAATATAATGTAATATTAATAACAATAATAGCTATTTGTAAAAACGAATGAGCTACTATATCTTGTATAATAAGATTTACATTCTATTCGTACAGGTAAATTCATCGAATCTTCACGGCTCCTTTGTGGCGCGGAGGTCGGTCATAGTACAGAGGCCTGTTACCGAATCCTGGGAGGTAAATGTCACCACTAAAAACACTTGTGGGTCCTAATGAATTTAGCGACCTTTTTGCGAGCATGTGTAGTACAAACTATCTTGCTTCAAGGGCTTTAATATGCTACATTGGCATCTCAATCCTACAATGTCAAACTTTTTGATTGTTTACGTTTCAAGTATTATGATGATAGGTGACATTGCTATTATTAAATGCACACTGGTAAGTGCTTGTCGTTTGAAACAAAAGTAGCTACCATTTTTGGAACAGATTTCATCATGTTACTATTACAAATCGGGATCGTTGGCGATTCTTTAAAGCTAATTGTGGGTCGTGATTATTAGTATTATTTTAACAGTTGATGACTTGCAGTAGGGACCAGGTTTGGGTTAAAATTATACTACAACGAAGACATTGAACCGACTAATGAACAACCTATCTATTACTTTAGGTCTTCTCAAATGCTCCGATAATCTTACCAGATCCAGTGCATCTTACTCTTACATACCCAAAGACGGCTAAACTTCCTACAGACGCTACAGCTCGAATCAACTTTGGAGATAAACAGAGGGACAAATGGAAGGTAAGACTTGGAGGACTGCCTCGTTCAGTGCTAACTTAACTATCGTCGTAAGTTCTTTCCGTAAAATTAGAGGAAGTCTTTATATATATATATATGTAACTTATCAAAAAAAATTAGAGAAAAATATTACTCAAAAACTATTCCTTTTCTGCACAAGTCTCCGTAAACATCCTGTATATGCCCATGACTATCAGGTAGCCTACTCGGTAAGTTTTCGCGCAATAAAGGCAGCCGACTGTTCCTACTGATCGTAGACGGCTTCGATCGTAGAAATAACTTAAACAAGTACATTTTTTTTATGAGATATCTGTATCGTCTATCGCATAGGCATGTTTTGAAGACGTAGCTTTATTGACACTCCATTTCATTTAGATATCGCAAACATGTAAATTTGTGATCTCGACTTAGCAACTGAGTTAACCCAACCACTGTCACCTGTCAACTTTTTAATAAACACCCTTGAAGATAAGAGCTTACTATATATAAGACAAAAAGAAATATGTTTATGTACTTTATAATCTATATATGTATGTATATAACTGAGGCACTCTAAACATTAAAGAAATCGCATACTTTCTGTATTCACATACCTAATACTTACCCGTAATATCTGGAGCCAAAAATACGAGACTTTGGTGCTAGCCTTTCTAAAAATAATATGCCTAGGCACAGCAGTTAAGAAGTTAATATCTTCATCCTGTCGAGATCCCATATATAATAGCCATTTGATAATTAAGGCTTGGTTACATATTAATCTATTCTTTGAATGAAGCTATGTAAATAGGTACGCTGATGTGTCTTCTGTCGTATACATAACAACGTTTGCAGATTCCTAACGAGGTAGAGGACAAAGTGAGCCAGAACTTTATTCACACATATCTAAAGCCCGGTTTCTACACCATACAAGTCAACATTTCGAATCTAATCTCCTACCATGTCCTTACCGAACGTGTAAGTACCGTATCGTACAGTCTGAATTTTCCTAATTATAGTTGTGAGCTTTATTCGTGCGTTTCAATTGTGGGTTCATCTGTGTAGTAATTTTCATGCCCGGGCACTTACGCCTTTATAGAATAGGGTCAAATGTATCCAACATACTCCATAATTATATGTGCTTGTTGGCGATGATAAACGTGTGTCTTCAAGTGTTGTGTGGATTTCTTCTTGTCTAAAGTAAAGGGCAGCCTTCAATGATTCCACTAAATTATTTGAATGAACCCATGCAATATCGCTGATTTTTCTGAACGTTGTTTGGATCGATTTATCGTTGTACGGCTTGTAGGTGGAGGTGACCACTCGCGTGCAGGGTCTTTCGGCAAAAGTCGAATTCCAACGTGAGGATGGCGGGGAATTTATCGGTGGTATGGGACCCCAGGGGGATATTTTTCTAACAACGAGACCAATCACGGTATCAATTAAGCTAGCGTCTGGAATGGTTGAGAACTTTTTCCTGGAAACCAAAAAAGGTATCTCGGTCAACGTTAAGTATGTAGCACATTACAAAAGTACTTCCTCATCAAAAAAGGATCAATTAGTATTCTCTCATGAAGTTGTTTATTTCATAGAGCTTGAAACTAGGGAATAGAAATGTCGAAATTATTCAGCTATGACAGTAATTATACATAATATATACCGTCAGCAGAAATGTTCACTTTCTGAAAAGGAAAGAGGATGACGAAGCTTATAAGCATTCTATTCTGGATTTTGTACGGCGTCAAAAAACCATGGTTACTCTATATATGTTTCGCGCAAGCGTGCTAACGGATATTATAAAGCAGATATTATGATTAAAAGACGTTCTCTTCCACTGTTAGGTAAACATCAATTAGTACCATGTCGAGGTCGGACATTTTAGAGAGTTCTTTCTCCAAATACCAGTTCTCAGTTCACTATATCTAAATGACTAAATTGCATTATCTATTTTGTATAAAATATATACACAATCCGAAACCTCACATGATAGTTGCTTGAGTGGCCGCAGTAAAAATAAATAACCTGAAAAAGTGTAAGAACGTCTGCGGCGAATTTAGCAGAGTCATTATGCAACCTAACATTGAAGCTAAAAAAAAAAAAGTTATTTTCCTTAAATGCTAATTCCAGGCCAGCCGTTAGCAAATGGAACGGCGGCTCAGCGTAAATACACACTACATTTTAACAAACCTGGACAGTATGATATATTCGTCTACGCGTGGAACCATGTACAGCACCGAACGGACCCCTACATCCTCTCAATCCGTACGATGGAACCGATAGAAGGTGAGTTTTGGTAGTTTACACAGCTCAAGAAGCAGATTGCAGAAGGCAGAGTTCTGTCCTGAACATTGAATATTCTATAGCCTATTTTAAACAAACATGTGAGGTTAGGTCCATTAGATTCGTTGATGATTGCAGCAGGTAGTAACATACGCGACATTTTTTTCAGTAGCGTCACTTCTCGACAGTAAGGCACGTAATCTAGCTGACATATTAATAGTTTTTCAACCCATAGCTTTCCCTTGACATGAGTCGCCATGTTTTTTAGACTCGGTATTTATCTAATAAAGTTACTGACTGTTCTTTTGTGACTGTGTCTATGCGTGGTTAACGGCAGGCGTCGATGTGTACATGAACGAAACGACTCCAAAGGACGAGTATATTCGACATTTCGTTATTTCAGCAACCTTCAAAGGAAGCGATACCTGTGCCATCGTAGATTACGGAGATGGGGCTTCACTCAAAGCATTTGGCTCCAGGAGCCAATGCTTCAGCAGGTAAATTCGCTGTATGTTAGACGTAGTAGGTCGTGAAATCGTTAAAGGCTTTTTTTTCATTTAAAAAGAACGCGGTCTCTCAACCAAAATCAAGCAGTAAATTATTACTCATTCGGGATCGCTCTCTGTAAGCGTGGCCCATTTTTCAACAAATTGATTTATTGCTTTTCGCTAGAAATTTTCAAGTCTGGTGCTAAGAAGCTTATTCAGTTAGGTTTTAGGACCTATTACACCGTCGAATATAGCGATATGCATTTACTTTGTGAGTGATCGCGGTCAGTTCTGACGATTATGGTGAACACAAAAACCTCTCATTCAGGCCATGCACGGTGGTTACAACGACTTTTGCAGTGTACGGCCTAGTATTGCCGTGTAGGAGGACGACCGTTCTTTGTACATCGGGCCTTTCTCGTTGCACAACTTTGTTCACTTAATACAATTGGACCTTTTTTCGAATGTAAAGCTAGTCTAACTTTTGGCTTAGGCGCACCTTACAAAACTAGCCATTCTTCCTTGGCAATTTCATATCGACGTGGAAACATCATTTGTCGTTACCCACTATCGTTCCGTGTAGATGCCTGTCAGGGTAGCAACCCGATGACCGGTACCCGGCAATGAGATATTAAAAGTCAAGACAAGCTGTGTTCCCTTACGCGTTTGAGCCAGTTTTTGGCACATCCAGGCTTTTAATTCCGATACAATTCAACACACTCTATATGCTGATAATACTTTACAACTAGCAAAGCAGCATTTTTCTCATAGAATTTTATCTCTAAACATAAAAACACGATCTGATACATCACTATTGTTATACTAATCAAACGGTTAGAACGTAGTGAACTATTTCGTGTGTTTAAGTAGCCAAAAATCACATTTTGCTAGCTTGGATGTTTATATACACCTTAAGAAAAATGCCATCATTCGTCATGAATAGCACTCGATTCAATCAAGCAAATAGAAGATTTCTTTTTCACTACGAGAAATATCTTTGTTTTATAAGGTAGAGAGGTCCAAATCTAGAGGCACCTTTTGTCAATCTAATCTAATGACATACTATCCTTACCCATTTTTGCTTAGTAGTCACATCTTAAAGGCTGTGGCTAACATTACTAGACCGGCACAAATACACTCTATGGTGCAATGTGTTGGCGGTCGGAATAAAAATCATCGAATAGGGTAATTTGCGACCGCGGGGCGGGTATTTACCGTCAACGCTATCAATGCTTACCGAGTATATCGCGTTTAAAACAAAGATGACAGAATTATGTTGTTCGCTAACATTTGAGAGCAGAAGCGCTGACACATACACGTTAAGAACTACTAAAGACAGTGGCATTTTACCAAGCCTCAAATATCATCGATTTAAAGATGGCTGCAGACGCAAATTATCATAATAATTAAGTTCTACAATTTTGTTGCGGTCATATCGTAAGTGGATGAAGAGTAGAGATTAAAATGATATGACGGTGAAGATTAATTAAGGTCTGGCATAAAGGAACTATCGGATTATATAAGAAAGAAGCCACTTATTTATATTTAGTCGTCAACCGGTGCGTGCATTTATCCGCACGGCCAAGACTTGAGTACTGAAAAAAGTAGAAGACGCCTTGTAATGCCGTGTTTCAACGATTTTGACAAATTACTGATACGTGTTAGGTAAACATCTAGCTAATCTCTGGTATTGTCCAAACGTATTCCATTGTGGTAGAGTCGGTCGTTGACTTCATCAGATGTAGTATCATACTTACCCGTATCTCCTGGCGCGCGTTCCGCTGTCAACGGTTTGTGTCACAAATCCGCTAAGCTACGACGGACGCGTCGTCGACTGAAACCGCAGGTGTAAAGAGGACACAGCTCCGACATTTGAATTAACAAAGACACACCTTAGCACAGCTTCAGCAGGAAGGAAGACTCTAGTAGCAATTTTAAGGTGTTGCAATATGGCCTTTCCCTTCGGAGGCTAGCAGGCCAGTAGGCCTATACGTCCCCTGGCGACATCTAATAACCAAATGGAACAGCTGGAAAGGGCCACTCACAGAATATCTTTCAAGCTGCTGACACTGATAGGGGCTGCAGTCTCTTTAAAATTGCATACCTCTATACTCCCCTCGATAAATGAAACGCTAGATGGGGTTCTCTCTGAGTTCATCGACGCCGTAACACATTAATATTTTTGCTAACCTGTGAGTTTACATGCTGCTCACTGTAAAGAACTTAACTAAAGTGCTCTTGACAACTCGTTGCCTTGAATAGGGTTAATTCCACGAATCTATTACTACGACGATTTCAGTTACGCTTTTTTGCCGGTACCGACGATGATACAAAACCGATTGAAACTTAAAACCCAAATAATAGAATAGTAATAACCCAGATATGTAACATCCACATTGCGAAACTTTCAAAGCTGCGTCGATTGGTGCTGCGGAATACGCGGTGGCCCTGCCATCCGAACCATCTGCAACACCGATGGTGGCCTGATTTATACAGCTTTTGTGTCTTTTGCAGCCGTCAGTTAAGTCAGCCCCGTTATGCTTCTTCTATCCGAACATGTATATTGAATGTTCTTTGGCACGTCATGGCAGAAATAAACTACTAAGTAACCTTATAAAACTCAGGAGTCCGCCTCTTGCATAGGACTAGAATGGATACCCAATTCTTCCAGAGGCCAGACACGTACTTTACATAAAAACGGGTTTTATTAAGTAGACGTATACTTCGACGGTGACTAACATGTGGCGAAAAGACAATCGCCAAGATTAATTTGATTTTTTCCTCCATACACACATTGACCCTTCTCAATCCAGCGAGATATCTTTCTCCTTCTGAATTAATAAGCCCTTCAGCTATTTGAATATCTGCTAGGTATCTAATTTGTTCACGACATTAAAAAAGCAATTGCGCTCATTTTTATTAGACGTTTGTTTGGAAAATATGAAGCATGAAAATTATATCTGGCTTAGCTGCCTGCTTAATTTTCTGTTACTGGACGATGACTAAAAAGATTTAAATTCGGGCCTGGCAGAATAACAATGAAGTCGGGAAACTTTCAGGCCAATGTAATCAAGGCGCGAAAAAATAAATCTACCGAGCCTGTTGACATACGATCCTTTGGCGCAGTATAGGGTAGCTAGATCTCTTCATAGTAGTTCTTACGTCAAGGAAGCTCTCTTTGATGAACAATAATATATTTGACTGCTTGATGAATTCTGCACTACTCTTAAGTTGGACAACACGTTTCTCACTAGATACCCATAACGAATCTCGTAATTAAGCCTCTGTAATTATAATTATACATAATATATTATTATTATCACACTGCAACTATTAAAACAGTAATGTTTAATTTTTACTGAGATTTTAGATCCTCATAGTCTCCACATTTTTCATGCTCAAAACGAGTCGTTTTTTTCAACTTTGAAATACTATATAGTCACCCATAATCCATAATTTTAATTCACTATTGAGCCTATAAAATGGCTCTATAAATCTCATTGACGTATGTGATATAGATATGTACATCGCTAGAGATAACGAAAGCAAAAAAAAAAAAGAGAGGTTTATACTCTTATAAGAAGATGTCATTGAGTTATCGTGACAGCTTTCAATTTCTTTCAAATTAGTTATTGTTTTCGATACCTTTATCACTATTCATGCATTATGACGAAATGGTTTGTGAATTAAAATCCTAAGAAAATATCTTGGTAATAGTGAATATTGCAGACCATTATGGCAAGTAACGATTTCACATCCTCAGTAATTTTAGAAGCGATATATCCTTAACCTTTCTCTTTGCAAACCTGGTTATGGGTTTTGCATCTCGAAATAAGCCCGGGGCCATCTATTGGGTTCGTTTTTTTGTCATTAAGTATGGTTTTCATTTGCCTAAATTTTCACTATGGCTGCACTGGCAAAAGCTTTAAACATTTTATGTACGGAATGTACCGTAGCTAGAGGGAAAAACGGTGAATTGTTATAGACGTTGCTGGTTCTAACGTCCTTTGAATGCTTAACGAATAAGATGGTACAAATTACTACGTTCTATAAATTGTGTGAAGATCTTTTTGCTGGCGTAGTTGTTTTTGAAAGGCAGGGTCGCGCGTGAGTATTGGCGAAAGGGGTACAGCAAATGGCCCTTGGTTTATTGGACTTTGAAATGAGTTTTTTCGACCCCCATAGTTATGATTTATCATTTCGAATATCTTCACGATAAGCTAATAAAAGTGTATGACCTGGCAGGACATGTGCTGTGTACATACATGACTTTCCTTTCTCATCGTAGAGTCATCTTATCAACACAATGCGAATGCGCTTCTTACATTGACAATAGTACACCAAGAATACATATACCAAATGGACGCTGGTTATCTATTTTATTCTATGTCTCTTCTCCACAGGTATAAGCCCGAAGATTTTGAATTTGAGGGCACATTAACCAACCCCCTTTACCTTACGAAGATATATGAACGAGGCTTTGACTATGCTTTTACCCTAGTCATGTTCAATGAGATTTCGGAAGAGGTGCGCATGTTGAACTTTACCGTCAACAACGAGCCATGCAAAGCTCCGGTTGTCAAAATACGTAACCAGGTGCTCGATGTCAACAACGCTTCCTTCTGGTACAGGAATAAAGCCGTTGAGCTATATAGCTTTACAGGTACGTCAACGTAAAGGACTGACTAGTGTTAAACAGAGATTTTTCAAATTCTGACTACATGGATATATTGTTACTTGATTATATTAGCTGAAAAATTTACTCATCGCTTAGTCTACAGGGGCTGAAAGTTGTCGAACACGAATGTTGTGTATTGTGCCTATATATTATTACTTAACCGTATGTCCTTTTCTATTTTCTGAATAGTCCAGAAACGGTCCTTTTGTACTCTATCAAAAAAATCGCCATTGCACTGTATGCGAAGATATTCTTTAGGGTTACTTTAGTAGAGATAAACAGTTTCACAGGTTTTTGACAGTTTTCGGTTACCGCATACATGGCTCCTCTCGCTTTTATTTCTGATAATGATGACGATAATGGTACTTTTAATTATAAAGAAACGATACATCGTATTCACTTGTACTTATTTATCTTATACGTATATCGGGTTATACGGAAGTACTAGGAATCTGTATTGCTATAGCTGTTTTTCTCATCAATGGCTTGCCTTGAATGAAAGATTTAGGTCATGGCTACAGATTTCTTTGACATGCGGAAGCAGTCGAAATTAGACAAGTTTAAATTGGGAGCCTACGATGGCTGAAGCCAACGCTTGATTCGGGTGTCCTCGATCCAGGTTGTGGCAGTTAGTTCGTGGCTATGGAATCTTGCCATGTCATTAAGTAATCACACCGCGGGCGGTTAATTAACTCATTTCCTATTCTGCTTGACGCCATTCTTTCACTTGGTTTTTATCTGGTGGGCAACCCAGACAGAATAATGTCCCGTTAGTGGTCACAATGTGCTTCAAGCGTTCGTTTTGCAATAATAGGTGCGCAAATTCTCTCTAGAATTAACCACAAGTCTCAAGATCGACTCCATAAAAAGTCATTTCTTCGCTTTGTTTCCTCATCATCGGTATCTCATAATTCGTATTTGTCATATCATAATAAATCAATTCATAGTACATATTTGATGAACCACGCTGAGTTGAGCGACGGCGTATTGCCCATGTTCTAAGGAAGTGCCCCCGGAAGTTTCCGTAATCGTAGGTGTATTGAAGTAGCCGTCCCCATTGCCATTCTAAATTTCCCGATTTTTGAAGTTAAGATTCGTTTCCAAGTAGCGCAGTGCTGTTCCCTTAAAAGCCTGCTTGTCCAATGCTTCGAAAAATATTCGACGAATTCTATCGGTGCCTTCGAGAAACAAACCTAATCACTGAGCGATACCTTTTTTTTCCGATAACGCTTAATGAACGTATAACCATAGACAGTGAAAAGTTGACGCAAACATTTACCAAATTTTATTTGTAGATGACGTAGAATTTAAAAGTTGTTCGAATCAATCGATCCTATAAATTGCCCCGGATAACATGAATAAGAACACAAATGAATAATTAAAATTATAGTACATTGTGATGGGCGTGTGCAAATTTTTTAGACGGATCGACCCGATTTTGAGCCACTTAAAAACACGTATCCTAAATTCAAGTTCAATTCCTAAAATCTAAGTTCAATAGGTAAGCATATTAGCGATGCATCGTTAGAGCGGGGTGGCTTAATCAGCAGTACGACAGCTAAAAGGTTTTTCGTATAAAAAAAATTATTTGGTTTTTATCAAATTGGATAGGGTAGTGGCAACTACCGCGATCGTATGAAATAGCATTCGCGTGCTGGTGACGGAAGACATAACCATAATAACAACACATGGGTGGCGGCAAAGGTCCTAACCGCTGCAAAAAATAATTCGTCTGGCACGCTTTTTCGTCCATGACGAGCGCGCCAAACTTAGGTCCATATCCCACTGATACAGCAGACCCAGTAACCAAAAAGAAACATGGGTCTGACACTCGGCAATGTAAGCCGGCTCCTCGCAAGTTTCGATGAAGAACGGGAATGGGCTCAGTTATGCCGTGGCCTCTCCGTCGATGATTCCCACAGTTATACGTCATGGATAGGGCCCGAGGTGATTCAATAAACAAAAAGTAAAAGCTGCGAATTAGAGAACAAACGGTAATCCATTCGTAACGCTTACCTGGTATGAAGAGTTCACGTAACTAGTGAATACGCCTTGTCATTCGATGTACGATCTTGCCGAATTATGTAGAGTGGAATTTGCGAAGATCTCAATCATTTGGGCTTGACGACAGTTTCCGACGTATTTCCGAGTAGTTTAGGTAACACAGACAGTTGTGCTAATAATTCCAGCTACGACAGCAATCACGGGTCTGCTGACAACTCTGAAGGTTGCAACTCCACCTATAATTATTCTTCTGTAGAAAAATCTTACTTCGATAGCAGCGCAGTCCGACCTTTGACATTTGTCTTCGGCAGCAGGTCAAGCAGGTGGCCGCAAAGGATGTGAAGAATCTGTCGCCTATAAAGCAAATGATAAACTGAATCATAAACGATGTTTTCGTCATGAATTTCTTTCGCTGTTGTTAAACGTCTTCTAGACTGCTGTGGTTTGTCTTGCGCAAGCCTATTTTTGTGCTCCAGTATTGTGCCTAGAAATTACCTAATGTAAACGTAACAAATCTCGACTACAATGGCGTCAACTGAGATAACGTTGAAGTACGTAAATGCGTTTTTGCGGAGTACACATATCCCGCATTGCTTGAAATGTAGCTATTGTATAAGCCCTACATTTTCGCATGTAGCGTTTACTATTTTCAATTATTTTGCAGTACGGGACAAATTGGGCATTAAGTTTTATTGTAGCTCATAATGCAGTCTTATATTAAAATTATACATTTACAATTTAAGAGTAAGATAAGAGCGCTGCGAGCGATTTACGTTACGTAAAACACAATGAGCTTGGCATGATCCATAGCATTTTCTCCAATATGGCGGCTTATGATATATGTCGATGTAGTGTACAGAGCAAAACGATACTTACACATTAGATAAAAAATGAATTGTTCCTGCTGTTATTGTTCCGTCTACTCGTCTAGCAGTGCTACAAACTCACCTTTATAACAAGTACGGGTATCACCTAGATAGATAGCCTGCGTGGGAAATTAGGGAGGATTAAGCATGGATCTGGCGTCCTACGCTCGATCCTATTGATCTTATTCTATTCAGAGCTCCCGTTAAACTTTTCGGATATCTCTCCGATATTCACAAGAACACGTCGGTAAGCTCCTACCGTATTTCCACCGGTACTTATGCCTTATGGTTCTTGCCATTTCAAGCTGAAAAGTATTTCTACTAATTGTACTCGGGTTACGTACATATTGTACAATTTTGCTTTATATATCTTTAATACGGCGGTGACTGCAAATGCACGCTTCGTCCCTGTAGGGAAACTTAAACCATTATCCACAATGGACGGGTTTTCTTGTAGTACGATTTTGCATTATATACTACAATTAAAGTTTGAAAATGGTAATTATATGCGGAGATAGATAGTTAATCATTACATTGTTGTAATTTCTAAAAATCCGCTTAGCTTACCTTAGCAGGGGCGATGACGAAATTAGTTTTAGGCTTCACGAAATTCTCTTCATATAATAGTATAGGATTAACCTTGTAATTCAAAGGATATACCCTAAAATACCATGACTCACAATTGATATAGGTTCATTAAGGCATCGAATTTTCCGTTTTAAACCATTTCTTCTAAGCCAGCCTTGAGCAGGCGTTGACTGCGAAGCAATAGAAGAATGACTTGCCACAGGAAGTATGAAAACAACGTTTCTTAAGTGAGGGATTTTCATCAATATATTGTCCCGTAAAAGTTGTGATAACGTCCCTATTTATGGTAGGTACGTAACCTAACTGGGAGCTGCTTGCGCCCTTTGTCATAGGCGACTTTTCGTTAGTGCCTATGCGGATTAGAGTTGTCATCTTTTATTCATTAGCATACTTGGAAAGTGTTGCTGAAAAACTTCTCATAAAATATTATAGAAAATAGGCCTAATCTAATCTAGCTGCTCATAAATACTTGCTCGGCTTGTGTCTCAATTGCAGAACTGGAATGTAACATATCTATCGATGTGAACCGTCGATGGGAGGCCTTTCTCGTCGACGCTGAAAACGATGGAGAGGTAGCAATGGGTTAATTTATACAAAATAGAAATAGGCTTAAACGGCAAGTTTTTTGTTGTATATATAATAATTGTTGTAATATATTTACTATCTAAACATTTGCCAAAGACAATTAGCGCCGTTCTCGTTAACTCCTTAATTTCGAAATGTGTAATCTGTTCAAAATGATTTGAAATTGTGTTGCAGGTTGTTCATGAAATCGATATTATGGAACTTGACTCTCGAACTAAGTCGATGCTTTACGTGCCCGAGTTTTTCTTCGATCCTGGATTCTATAAATTGCGTTATAATGTTAATATGAGCGGTAAGGCATGAATTTTTGCTTCAAAAACGCAATTTTGAGCATAACGATTGCGTACACCTTTTTGTACCGCATTTACTCTGTCACATATTCGAAGCAGTTGACGGTCTAGCATATCGGTTGGGTGGGATTGCCCCTTAGATTTAACAGGCAGCCATCAACCGATTCGTCAGTATTTGGAGCATGTGAACATAAAAACACTGATGTATCCGTGAGAAAGGGTTTTTGAGCATTTGCCTATGTAGCAAATGGTAACGGTCTGTCTGGTGGTGAAACAATGGCTTACGAGAAACAAAGGATACGACTGCATAAACAAATTTGAAGTTGGCGGTGAACTTCAAGAAACATAGTCGATATGCCGATCGAGACACAAACACTTGAGCCTTCATTCAGTCTAGTGCATGCAACTATTTATTAATAAACAAAAAATCAACGGAAAGACCTTTAAGTCCCAAGAACAGAACCAATAAAATGACCGATTGCATCGATCGCAATATCAGTTAAAAGTTGGTTAAAGACTGACTCGTTTCAAATACGTCCTTCAAAAGTCTATTCACATGTATCCCGGGGACAGCGTAAATCAGTCGACATTGAAAAGCCCGTACTTTTTTTGTGTAAATGTATCATACGTCAATATAGCATCAGTGGAACATAACTAAGCTCTCCGGTGAACATACTACAACAGGCTTAAAAATAAAACTACAAGAGGATACTGGATCAGTTGGAACAGGCAATGGGATAACAGTTAGCAAATGAATCGGATTAGGTACATCAATCAACGCAAGACAGACATGGAGTCCTTATAGTGTTTAGGTTTGCCCTGTAATACCTGATCTTCGTATAAAAGCTCGTGTTTGTCTCAGCCGCATTCGGCTACGGTTGAAATAGCTACTAATTACCTGCCCTGTCTTTGAGCACGTGTTTACAATAATTAGGTATAGCTATGGAGCAGCTGGATAACCTTGGGCTGGTTGCTTTTACTTGTAAATATGGATGTTAACAAAACTAGATGTCTCCATCATATCCCAGGACGATATCTAACATAGTGGCGAACCGATTGAACATATGCATAGCTTAACTGCTGTGATTTAACATATATTAAACTCCAAGACATCTACATAGCAAAATATATTGAAAAAAATCGTTTCTTTTACAGTTTATACATTAATCGTTATGATTGCAGCCCCAACAGCGCGTCCTCCCATGTTCCACCGTAGATGGGTAGAAACGTATATTGAAATCAAGCCGTCGCTAATAATACCTCAAATGTCGGAAGGCGCACAATCTAGAGTGACCCGTGGCTTCCCACAAATGCTCACACTGAATCCAGCCAACTATTCTATAAATCCTGATGACGCCGACGATATGGTAAGTCGTTTCAAATATCTAAGCGCCACACATAAAAACTATACGAACATGCTGTAACGAGTTGGCATTCTGATACCTTTTCCTCCTAATGATTCTATCCCTAGGAGCATGTTTCCCTATTTCTGACTAAATGCCCATTTTAAGCCGCCGCCGCTGCTGCCGAAGCCTCCGTCGTCGTGACTGCCCCGCTGCGGCGGCAATAGCGTAGACTTGATGTTCATAAACACTGGTTTGACCGGCCCGCCGAACTGACAAAGTAGTGATTATTAATCTACAATAATAAAAACAGCACAGACTGTCACTCTCAATGCAATTTGCCTATGCATCTGTTAGCTTACAGTTTATTTCTATACGTCGTAAGTTGAGTTGCCGTGATAGCAAGGCATACGTTCGTCATCAACATAATCTTCAACACAGAAGTTCTCGAGCTTAACATTAACATATAACTATCATAACTTAATCCTGTTTGTAGAGGTTATTTTTCAGCATTCAGAAAAAGAAGAAAAATATATTTACAGAAGTCCTCTTTATATACAAAATACGTAATTGTTACATTGTAGAGATCTATAGAATCGACACACAGATATCACAACGCGTTACTTCAAGCTGAAAACCTATTGCAGCATTATATGTACGGTGAGAGACTGTATTTAGGTCAACATTAGTCTCTACGCTGACCCCCCTCCCACGATAGCTTAGAGGGAAAGGTATTTACCTGCTAGTCTTAGGGACACTCTATAGCTTAAGTTCGGACCCGATCATAGACAGACTTCGTTTCATGCTGGGAACCAGCCGTCCGATCTACCTAAAACTCGAAACATGGAAGCTATTAGGGCTATGAAACTTAAAATACTTCACGCAATTTTATTATCAGTGATGTGCTTAGGAGCATCGATTTAAATCAATAGAAATGTGCAGCATTTGGGTCTGTTAAGTAAGCAATTGTTGCCCACAAAAATAATTTTGTTTGTGTAAACATTTTTTTTTTAAATGCTTGTATACATTTTGGGGGCAAGTAGGAGTGACTTTGCTTTGCTTCAATGAAATCTACTAACTCGGATATGAAATTACTCAATTACCAAAGTCTTGTTTGTACTCTTTTTCGAGTGTCTTCAAAGTCGCACAACTCACTTCACCTTCATTTCTCATGCTACAGAATTCTCAATAATGCATATAATTCTATGGCACTACAGGAGTTCAAAATCACATGGTATTGCCGTCGCGTGGGATTAGGAGAGCAGATCGACCGTACTGTAGCGTACGATCAGCAGCCCCTTGTATCACCTCTGTACCATCGCCTTAAGGATCTGCCAATGATCCTTGCTCAAGGTCGGAAGTTCGATTCAAAAGAATACCTCGCTAAGGAGAATGCCCACGACGAGGTATTTTTTTTTTTATCTATTTCAGTTTGTTAGGATTCGCACGTTCTCGGTACAATGAATAATTTCCTTGCGTAAGGTTAAGGGCACGTTAATATGCCACTTGCCATGTCCTGTTTACTCAAATGTTTAAAACTTCCCTGCTGGTTTGCTCCCATGACGTTTCTCAAAATGGCCTCTAACATTCTGTATAGTTTCATATATATTTCACTATGTTCGAGCAGGCGCCGTTGTAAAATTGAGAGAAGCCAAAGAAAAATTCTTGTCGCGCCTGACAGATGTCCTGGTAATCTCATGACACATCTGCGGAAGTGGCATGACCCAGCAAAGTTTCATGAAGATAGCTCGATGATTCTAACTAGGGATCTGGCGTGGCTTTTGTCAGGACGTACGAATTTAGCTAAAGATGACATTAGAAGAGCAGAGGGAGTCATTGATTGATTGATTGATTTCGTTCATATAATCCCGAGCTTCGTGTGGGCGTTTAAGTTGAATGTTGACGGTACCCAATTTTAGGAGAGGAACTTCATAGCGCGGGAATAGATCATTTAATCGCTCAACTGATTCTCTTTCGGAGCCTTTGTTTTCAAGCAGTCGCAGCATATTCTATATTTATTTATATCCATAGTTCCGCATTGTATTTCATAGCATAAGACATATTTCCTGTGTGTGATTGTCAGCTTGTTATGATTTTAAGTTATCCCGTAGAACCGTCGTCTCTGTTTCATGCACTGTTTGTTATCAATTTAAGGCAGAAACTTTCTCAGAAACGGGTCTATCTAATACGGTGAGCACACACCTTTAACATATAGACACATCTTTGATGGCTAGGGGGGATGCTTTGGCACGGGTCCCGGACGGATAAACCTTACTGCTGGCTATCTCGATTGGAGTACTTTGCTGTTTTTCAAACCGAATGAAACCTACGAGATGCTAGTCCATATAGACAAGGGGGACCGTCCGCCATCGTGGGGAGCTATTCAGGTCGTGCTCCTGGAACATGTCCCACCTTCGATCACTGTCAAGTGAGTGCTATTTCGTTCATTTTTGCTATATTTTCTATCTTACTTCGAGAAAATATTTTTATTATCCTGTGTAATGATATTCTTAAAATCATATGTCAATAAATAGCGATTAAATCTATAGACAATACGATGTTAATGGATCCCTTTAACTTGGATTGAAATAAAGTTGAGTTTGCCAATTCTCTGTAAAAACGTACCTATTTTCCGCTACGTTTTGAATAATAAATGGTAAGAATAGGAAGAAAGAAATAATGTTATTATTTCTAACATTTTCGTACATATATTGTGTTGCTTGCTAAATGCTATATTGAATCTAGATATGGAATTATCCATTAGTTAGTAGAAGGCATTGTTTGAGACATCATAATCTATGGAATTTACTGCCTAGGCTTAGTCAGAAGTCGGCGTTCGTTTGGAGAAAGAGAAACCAAAAAATTCAACAAAAAAAAAAAAAAAACAGAGAATTTATTTGACATCTCCTCGTGACACAAGCTATCTAACAGAGGGAAATAATATTGTAAAATATATTTATAAATAGCGTAAGCATGTACGGGAATGTAACTGTCAACTTTTTTTGTTCGTGTAAAAACTTGTATTGTGTATTTTGCTACGATAGGCTTATTAAATCCCTAGCCAACGGTAACAGGACACGGGTAAAAATTAAGGAGGAGAGATAGCCATTTTCAAACACAGCAGGCATGTATGTGCAAAGGCTATTGTTGTTGTTGTTGTTCGCTCTAAAAAATAAACAAATACGGATAGGTCGTATATAGTTGTTCCTATATACCAAAGCCCAAATACAACCGTTTATTAGCTAACTAAATATTCGAGCGTATTTATAGGCGAGGTATTCCATGGGTTGCACGTAATTTGTGACTGTAACGAAGCATCTACAGTGACAAACGTTTCATCAATGACTGTTTCTTATCTTCTTGACTTTGCTTAGAGCTTATCCACCTACACACTGCATTTTTCAAGCTTGATATCATTAAATGAAGATAGATAGAGTATAATCTCATATACACGTAGGTGTCAAACGGAGAAGCTCTGCTATCCATATGAGCCGATTGGACAAAAAATCAATCCAGTTCGTGTTGGACTCATCGGAGTTTGTTCGGAAAACTGTGACGGAGAACTGTCATACGCTTGGGAAATATTTGGCATGGATAATGAGACTGAGGTTCCTCTCGAGGATGCTCCGCAGTACCTTGTTGGTACCAATGAACTTAAAATGGCCCTTTCAGGTCAGTTGTGCAAATTGAAAAAATTTACGTATCTATAAGATGACCTCTCATTTAAAAAACACACCTGTGATTTATATGATATGATATGATGAAAATAAACGAAAGTCTACTATTATAACAAACAGCGCAACGCGTGGCCTTTAGAATACCTGAGCACAAAAGCTATGTTATGCAATTTTAACAAACGCCTTTCTGGCAAAAAAAAAAAGTTTAATAATCTCAGTTATAATGTTAATACGACAGGTCGTCATCATTAAGAATGCCATTTTTCCCCTGGTCGAATGGGCGTATTTTTGATACATTTGTTTACTACCAGAAGAGGGACGTAGCATTATACGTTGGTAAAAGCCTTTGGAAAGTGAAACTGTGCATTTTCGCTAAACTATTTTTATGCGTTTTTAAACGATGTATTGTTATGTCTACCTGTAGATGATTTTTTCAAGGTGTACTACCCAATGTTTGGGGATTTCATTGCCAAGTTAACTGTAACCAATGAGTACGGAGTTTCGGGTGTTTCCGACTTGTTTTTACACATTAACAAGCCGCCGCAAGATGGACACTGTACGTTTGGGCCTGAAGAAGGTCGAGCGTTGCTGGACAAATTTACGGCCAGCTGTTCGGGTTGGATCGACCCCGAAGGCTTCGATATTGAATTCTTCGCCTTCTGGGGTGAGTGACAGGATTTAAATGTTTAATAAAGAGTACCCGTGGTTAATTTTACTGATGATAGAAGCATCCTTATTCAAGCGCCCATATGCGTTTATCACTGCTAATATCTGGACGCAGCGCAGATTTATACATAGGTCCTTTAAAAAGAACGTAAAAAGCCAAGAGTTTGGCAGCTTTATCTCTTTTGAGGTGTACACGACAAGCTATATTGCAGCTTTATGATACACGGCAAGCATTTAGAGAGATGCACATGTTCGCATATGATGAGGCTTGTGCCTTGAAGAATTACTAAAGCCAATACGTAGAGCGTTCAAAAGAGATATATTTGAATGGCCTTGAGCTAAATACATCTCTAGAGCGTTTATAATGTGCTTCACCTCCGTCAGCAAACAACAGGTTATAGTTAATCGTGTAACTGTATAAACACATGCTAATTAAATAAACTCTAGGCCCTTGAAAAGCTGATATCTCAACGTTGTCAAAATTCTATGGGCCTTAAAAGCGTTAACTGAAATTTTGTTGTGGGACACAAAGTTCTTCCTAAACTAGATATTAATTTCATGCAATTATTTCTATCACAGTTTACAACATGGAAAATAGTGTCTTGACGTTTTTGACGTATGGACCTGACCACACAGTACAACTACTTCTACCGTACGGGGATTTTCTTGTTGGAGCTGATATCAAGGACAAGGAGGGAGCTACGACCCGGGTCAATATGACCCGCTTTGTGGTATGTTTTAGATCAGAGCCACTATAATCAATTCGAAATACATAAAATTAACCCTTGGCAAACTGACATTGCTAATAAGATTGCTCTTAATATGCATATTTTACGTATAAAGACCGAAGTGTATTTAAGTTATGAGTAAGCTTAGAATGTCTGTATACTTCCAGATATACTGCTGGGTCATGGTACGGATTATCACTTACCTGATGTCAGCCCATTTAAGTTTTAGACTCATTCATGAAATTTGTCCAACAACAAAGTATCTCAGAGCTCTATTTAAATTGAATAAAGAAAGTAATCTATTTATATTCAATTGATACCTATAGCGTCGTGGGCAAAGAGCCTTAGGCAGAGCTAATTGGTCGCTGATAGGCCCCTGGCGATAGAAAGTAAATTGGTTTTATGCACTGTCAAATGGTCAAATGCACAATGGAAATTCTTTAATTTATAATAAGTATATTATAATGAGTGTATGGAAAGGTATGTAGCTTTCACATGCCCACATTTTTAAGTGGGCCTACATGAATATAAGTTCTCACGTAACAGCGTCGCCATGTGGTGAGTTAGTGAGTGAACTTCCGTGAGCGAGAGAGAATTTTCGACTCATAAAAAAATGTTAGGGGGATAACGGGATGTTGAACGGCATTTTTAATGTAAATGTACATTAATCATATATTGCCGATCACCTTATATATCAAACATGTATGTTTGAAAATACGTGTTGAATTGAGCGATAAAACATTGACTGGACACTAATATGATGACAGGTAATTTAGCTTTAAGGTACTGTTTATGCGTGCGTTGTTAGGCGTTTGCTATGAATATATGCATAGGAGTATATATAAGGTGGTCGAAATTCTGCATAAAAAAATAGTAGTGGCATTTGTAGATATATGCTAAAAGTAAAAAAGCTTTTTGTATTTATGTGCAAAAAAATTCATTTTTCAAAAAACTAAAACGATAAAGTCCTTTGTACGGTAAAGACAGGTTATAGACTAAAAGTATCGTTTGTTGTGTCTGGGTAAGTTGCCTGATTAAGTTCAGGAAATACTTAAATCCCTATGATGTTTCCGCAGTGGTACTGTCATAATAATTTAGGTGCTAATGTGGAATAAATACATTTCGATCCTTTGATAAGAATTCGGAAACAGAAAAGGTGTGCACAGTAAACGGCACAGTTTAAGCCAACCATGGTGAATATAAACCGCTTTAAAGATTCATTAACTTGGTTCACCTTTGCCGTCATTATACTCCAGTATAATACAATTAAGTTACACTACAAATAGAGACACTTATATTGAATACTTCACATTCACTAAAATAATCCAGAGAAATCATTTAAAAAAATAGAATTCTATTTATAGAGCTCGTGGTACCTCAACCGGTCATAGACGCAATATCACTTATAGTGAAATGTGTTTAGATTTTACACGTAACGTAACAAATAATCTTATGCCAATTTACATACTAACTAGTACCAGTAGTGAGAGGAAGAGACCAGTAGAAACAAAAAGTAGCAGCAAAAAAAAAGAAGACGAGTCAATTAACAATGCTTTGTTTCTACCTCTGTTAGATACTTATCCCTAGACATTATGGACATGAAGTCATCTTGATTGCACCATTCAATTTGTACCTAATAGGACGCAGTGACAAAAGTTACCGTACGGTTCAATCTAGATGGTTAGTGCACTGATATAAGACATGTTTCTTTTTTTTTTTTTTTTTTTATCTTTTGTCTCCTTCTTTGATACATCGCTGCCAGCCCGCCGCTTTACTTAGTAGCATTAGCAGAGGAAGTGGCCACCCACTCGCCTCTGCGGGTTTTCCTCCGTATTGATGAGTCGCAAGCTGTGAAAGCGCCCCTATTTCATTAGTACAGTCTGCGTTACAGCTCTCTTTCCACAACTGTCTTGAGACAATGTGAGGAAAAATTCGAGGTGCTGCATACTGTTGCAAGGAGATAGTGCCATTTCCTCTGCTCCTCGACATGGCCAAGTCAACGGCTTATCATTAGTCGGCCCTTTTTCCCTTATTGACGTAAACCCTGAATCAGCGCCTCTGTTAGCCGCTGAGATCGGAGCTTCGAGTGAGAGGTATTGAATGATTCACTTAATTTTGAAAAACACGTTTTTCTCGGACGTAGCAGCATACTGAATGGGATATTGAGAGTATGACCTGCTCATAGTTGGAGCTGCTTAGGCGTGATAGCTGGCAGTTTGTTAGGGCTAGGAGTGATTGTAGATCTCACGTGGTTCGGATCTCACGATGTTAATCATTCTACAGTTGTTCCTTTATAGTAAATGACGTGCCCGGTGGCAAGTCGGAACACTGTAGGAAATATAAGACTCTAGTAAGCAAAAAAAAAAAGAAAAGTAGAAGAAATCACGGATATCGAATAACTGAGTCCCTCTTTCCGCCTGTAGAATGCAAAATCAAACTTCATTTTTTTCGCTCGGAAGTTTGACGCAGACATCATAGATTAATTGAATTTAACCGCGTATTCAATAAACTTAGCATGTTAATTCATATGTATTTACAAAGTTGCTCTCAACAGGAGTATGTGCTATTATGTCCCTCTGGATTGATACCGACCCTATAGTCATTTGGTACAATGTCTATTGCATTTAACGAATAGACTTGACGTAAGTAATTTTCAACGCAACGTTATTTTCTTTTCATCAGTTACGTGCCCCTATATATATATATAAGCACGTAATTGATGAGTTAAGATTTATAGTTGTGTCATTGCTCCTTTAAGTTAACGCAAAGATAAATATTGAAGCTACTACTAGCTTCGATTCACTTTCACTCTTATTCCAGACCCGTCTTCCAACAAAGAGTGAATTTGAAAATTATTTAAACGATCGAAGTTTTGATAATGCCGATGCTGCAGGAGATCAGGCCAAAATGAATCAGATGTCGCAGGCCATTACGTCGCTTCTGAACGTTCGGCTTCGAGAAGACTATGAAAATGAAATTGAAATTGACTACAACAATACAGGTGTGTTCGACGGTCTATTTTTAAATCTACGAATATAATACAGAAACTAAGTTATGCATGCCAGCAGTAACTTTGTAGCGTACGCGTAATAACTTGTTAAGTTCCTAACAAATCATAACGTAATTTATCTATAATATCACATTAAACGTTATGTGATTGATATTTCACTACAATAAATATTCCGCCTAGCTAAATAAAACGATAATTTTCATTTTTAGCTACTAATGCAACAACAGTCGTTTCTATGATGGTGCGGTAGGCGTACTTGTCCACTGATATTAACGATGGGTGGTCTAGATTGAGGCTGAGTGCTTCGATCCGTTAGTCGAAATCCAGCTAATTGGTAAATCAATCTGTATAGCGTCTTTTCAGTTGCCCTGTCCGTAAGGGGCCGTCGTTAAAGAAATGTTTCACGGTTGTGTCGAAAATTGCTGTTTCCTAGCAAAAGAGAGCAAGCAATTTATTTTGTGAGAGGCTGTCCATCGGCTTCTAAAGGCACTTTGACCTATTACATTTGTAAGAGCAAATAAGGCGCTGTCTGGAATAGACATAGAATCTGCGTCAGGTTGTGCTTGATTCAAGTAGGAGCGTCAAGAAGTACCTGATAATGTCTGTCCGTCAAAGTGAACTGACACGTCTATGATAGCAATGATTTCCATTGATCGCATATCGGAATGAGGTGTTGCTACTGCCCACGTCAGATCGCTAGGAGCCTATTAGACTGTCAATGAAACGCTACTGCTTTAATTATGGCATGGATTCGTTGTAGAAGAAACCAGACAAAGACGTAATAATACACAGGTAAAGCTTGGGTTAAAAAATAGCGATTTGATATCTCTAGTTGGTGTTATGACTGTCTATGCGAATTAGATAGTTACCGTAATTGCGATACACGTATACTAACGTCATAGATATACAGGGTCAACAATAGAGACGATGGAAGGAAGTTAATCTTCACCCAAACGATTTTCTAATGGGTCCCAAGCTTAATTGTATCAAATAGCGAATGGGAACATGACCATTGTAGTTATTGTGTAAACTAAGTTGAACTTTGATCAGAACAGAAGCGATCTTCCAATTTTACCCCGTCCGTTCTGAAGACAGGCATTTGCCAGCTGGTCTTCGTTCAATGCACTCGGTTACAATAGAGCCATAAGGGGAGCGTCCTGAAGGAGCTGTTTCGTCTGCAGTCGCAACGCAACTCTATAGGGAATCCTTCAACAGTATTGTTTCTAATAAAACCTCGCTCATCTAAGACGTCTTTTGGCAGCCTTCCAGAAACTGTCGTTGTTCGCTGAAGCTGCCTATTTACCTACGAATCGAGGATTTGAGTAGACAAAAGGGAGATTAGCATTTGGCGGCTAGTACTGAAGTACTGGCTAGGATATTTTAGTTTTTGGCACCTTATATTGGAAAATTGCGTCAATTAAGTGTTTTTCGTTGAAAATAGAAGTTTATGTCTTCGGTTTAATTTGGCATCAATTTCTATTACAAACATTTGCTAAACTGATTTGTGACCTTCATAGACAGAACCTAGCACAGGCACTCCACCTATCCCGCTGCACTTATCTCTATTGGTACATTCTAACAGGTATGTAGCCTACCTGGAGCTATACCAGTAGCCTTTTTTTAATATAATAAAATTCGATTCAGGTTACATCAAATTATCTAGTTGCCCTTATACCATTTTCTTAATTCAGTCGCATAGTTAGTGGTATTTCGATCATCCCGTTAGCTTAGCCCAGTGATCGCCCGGCACAACCTATAGCTCTTCCGTAGTATACTTTTGAAATGATCCCATTCCTCTGTTGATACAAGTCCGCTGCCTGCAGCTTGCTCTAAGTAGAAATTATAGCTCGAACGCAGAGACCGACTCCTTTACCGATATCCAATCACAATACTTCCTAAATCTTTTCGTGCCATGAAAAGCTACGTTAGCGAGCCGTAATCAGCCAGTTACACTTACTATACCTTCCTGATTTAGTCAGTTTACGACATTGTTTGTAATCCTACTGCCTTATGGCTATTGCTTGTTCCTACATGGTGCTCTATATTGATTAACCTGCAGAAGCGTTACGGCTCTACTCTTGAAGAACCCCTCTACTAGGCCACGATTCTCAGTCTGTTTGGCTCCTTTCCCTAATTTGTTAACTAAGTTCACTAGTGCCACACATTCTTAGATAAATCAAGTTCCAATAAACCGTCATTGATACTGCTGCAGCTATCCTCCGACAGCGGGTACGTTCTCCAATTAGAATATATTAGCGATCCTATTATCCCATCTTATCAGTTTGTGTTAATCTTGATCGATTTCACTGGTACTACTCATATGGATTACACTCAAATACTCATTGCGGATCAAAAGCTTCACAGATTTCCGAACTCAGATCCTATTATTCCGTTATGACTGTTCTTTTACAGTGGCTAGATTTTTTCGATCATTTTGGCATATTTTCTAAGTAATTTGCGGCGATTTTGTCAGTCGACTCGGACGTCCTGTTGAGGCGCAACGTTGACGAAAATGACTAAGTTTAAATCGTCCGTATAAAGTCGAACAGATTTTTCCCTTTTCGTACATAGAAGCGAGTTCTGACCGTTGCAGTCAACGTCGGTCTGGACCCTCGTAGCTATCACTGAAATGAGGCTAGCTAATTAGTAATAAGGTTTCCTGCGTTGGAAACAAATCGTTTTCCTAATGCACCCTGTTGCACCTGCTTCATTCCCCCCCCCCCCCCTTTAAATTACTCCACTCCCCAACTTTTGCACCGCCATTTTTTTATTTTTCAGAACAAACTATTGTATTCGGTAGAACATTACGATTCCTGAAATCAGTTGTAGTCTGTATTGCGGAATGGCTTTTTGAAATTAAGTTTATGCACTTGATTTTCAAACAGTGAATGCTGACCTACTAATCTCAGTTACTACCCAGTTTGTAGCGGAAACCCCTACGCACCACGCGTTCTGTACTCCTGACTGTCGTATAATGAAAAAAAAAAAAAAAAAATGTCGACTCCACTTGTAATCATAGGATACCGTTTGTAACAATGGTCGCTGTGAATATATCTTAAACTTTTTATTGCAATGAGCTTACGATTATTAGTGTCAAGCTAAATGTTGAGATATATATTAATTGTGATACTTATCGACCGGAAGTTGATGGTCATAACCCAATTGTATTAAATATATACGGCAAAAAACGGTCTGGGAGTAACACTTCATTCGGTAGCCTATATTTCATAGAGTTTCATATATTTTGTAGTGAAGGCTTATCTATTCATTTGCTAATAATTATTTATATGAAGAATACCAGCTGTGGCAGCTTCAAGCATAGTATACAATGTCCGATTAGGCAGACTTTGCCGCTCAGGAACGATTAGGATGACGAACAGTCTGATCCTACTAAGCCCGAGTTACACGGTAGCATTAAGGTGTTGAACTCGCTGAAAAGGGTCAGTACGACCTGATACAGAAGGACACGTCCTACCCTCGACGTCTTTATTTGAATATATAAGTAAACATAACGTCTCGAAAACGACGAAAATGAAGCGAATCAAAATTGCGCATAGACCGACCAACCCTGGGAATAGGCGAAACCAATAAGCGGTAGGCTACTGTAATACAACAGGCTCAAGGAGCCAAGTACTGACAAAAACAATGCTATATAGTCTTCTTGATCTGACTATTAGTTTATATATACATAGAAATTATTGTGTATAAATAAATACTACGGACTTTATTAAGGCTTCCATTCAAACGATTCAAATCCTGACGTTAATTACTGCGCAAAAGTGCTTAAAGAACACGTTGCGGTATGTATTCTCTCAACCGTTTCCGTCGTTTACGGGCATAAAAACACTTTAAAGCACGTTTCTCCGCCAAGAACAGACCGTACCCGGAACTTCAATTCAAGTTATGAATATACTGGCCCGGTTGTTCCGTTGCTGAGCATAGTATCAATTGTACAGTATACAGTATCGATACGCTTAGTCATTAAGCCAGATATGTTAGTGAGATATTTGTTCGTTATCGTTTCTAGTTCAAACAGGTGATCCAGTCAAGTATATGTACGGTAATTCGTTTGTACACGAGAAACAATTGAAAGTCTAATAACATGTTAAATGTATTTCAGAACTTATGGAAAAAGAACTAGAAGAGCAAGCCATTCTTCGCTCTCGAATGATTCGTTCCGTATCTTCAATTATGAATGTTGACACGCTGAATTCTATCGAACAAATCGGTTCGGCCCTGACCGCCATTGCAGGAGCAGGAAACGGCGTCGATAACGAAGGAAAGGTACGTTTTTTAGGTTTTTAATATACTGCCATTTCAAAGTTTGCGATACAGATCTGTAGAACATTTTACTTCGCACCCTTTCTTAGGAAAATGAAAGTGATTACGCGTAAGATGAGGTTTGCGCCCAGTTACGCAAAAAAAAGTACATGTATTCCTCAAAATTTAAAACTTACTATGGCAACAAACAAGGCTAACTAAAAATAATAATAATTTATTAACTACTTCGATAATGTGGGCGTCTTCGAAAACGTTTGAATTCTGGTAAATAGCCGAAAGATATCCAGCTGGAGTACGTACTTCTTCATCTGGGAACATCAATGCATGTAGCGATGGTACTATTTCAAAAACGTGTACGCGTCTGACGTACGAGATGGTTTTTAGGATGTTGTAAAGCATTTCTGTAGCCATAATAAAAATCTTGTTTCATACCGTTTCCAACTCCAATATTGACTGATAAGCTCCAACGTACAACGATCCTTATTGGTCTGACATTGCTAGGATATTTATAAGGTAAAAGCCTTCCCGAGTCTTGTAATCGTATGTTCTTGTTGGAATTGTAAGGCAGCCGCATTGATGCTAAGCTTGTGCATCGAAGGTCGTGGCAGATCTGATCTGAACCCAGGTCTCGTATTTTTCTAGTAAGCAAGCTACTCTGACCCTGAGCCGTTCCTAAAGAATATGGCGTTACAAATATGAAATCGGTTAATTACCGCAGAGCGCGTCCGTGATTCGGACTTGATGTTGTATATATCGCCGTATACTTCTTTTAAACCGAACTAGCTTTTGCTTGATCTAAGCAAGTGGTTAAATCGTCAAAGGGAGGTACATTCAAAAGCAAATTGGGTCAACCTCATCTAAATATGGCGTTCGCTGGAATCATGACTAGAATACCTGTAACTTTTTTTTTTATCCAACGATGAAAGTGTAATACACATTTTCGATCGTTACGGCGCGCCAGTTTTAAAACGATATATGGGGCGCTGCAATCGCCTCAACTATTCTAACAGTTCGTAAACCACTTTTGCGCCAAAATATTTACGTTCTACATGAGAAACGTAATATTTTTCTTAGAATAACGTTTAAAAAACACAACGTATAGATACCTGGTCAAAAGTATTAGATTAGCACCTGAAAAAACTTTGGCTTTTTCCGATATTTTTCGAATTTATCAATGGTAATGTAATCTCTTTTTTTGGCGATGTACTGATATCGAAAATATGTTCCCCGTGTTGATATGTATAAAAAAGGATAAAATTAGCCCCTAATGCGTGTAAGGCGCTTTCTCATATCCAACGAAATATAGTTACCGAATTTCCATAAAATCATATTATTCTTCTTACTATGTGTTGAGCGTTAAAGTCAAAATATTGGTACATATAATGCGCCGTTCCAATTTTGTATTTGTTTATTTCGAATGTGAGTCCAATATGCCATTGAGTGTGCTTATATACGACAAACGATGCGAGCTCGTTCTCAGCACTGGTCATTCCTGTAGACTCCATTAACACACTGTTATGAGTGCTAAGACAATAGGAGGTAGCCCACAAAGTGACTTAGATTTGTCATTTGTTCCAAAGGTAGCCTAAGTTAATCAGTATTGGTTGTATATTAAGCAACAGATTATGCATATGACTTCGTAACGTTTTCCAGCTTTCATAAAATTCCAAGCAGTGAAGAGGGCCATGGCCGCTATTATCGGATCAGAGAAACCTAGCAGCATATGTAGAAATAATACTTCAAGGCTCACTGCATCAGCTCTTGCTAGTGATAGGAGTTGATGACCAGTTCATTCGTTCAAAAACGAGACAATAATCACAAATCTGATCGACGCTTATTAAAGTGTTTGATGAACTTCTAAAATGTCAAAATGTATTGGCACAGTGGTTCCACCATCTGAAAGGTCCACCCCTCAGTAAAATTAGCACAAAAAGATTAATCAGACGCTTCTGTCGCTCTTTTTTGTTCGAGTTGTCGAACATGGGATGGTCAAGGTGGTCTGCTGACAGACGGTTTATGTCGGCATAGGAAATTCGTTGGAAAGGCCTTATTGAAAACTGCGTTAAATGCAGCTAACAGAATCCTTTCCGTATCGTCAACCGCGAGATTTAACAAAATTAGCTAGTTTACCTCCATCTAGAACAGCTGGTAGCCGGTATCATTGAGCGACCTATTAATAGACTGTACTATTGAATTTTTGCCATGAATATATACAGAACTAGAGGTCTGTGTATATCTTTCTCATTAGTTTCTGTCGTCTTCGCTTGATCTGTCAGACAAAGCACTAAAATACGGTGGTTGATTACCGATCAGTATAATTTAATTTTGGAATATCAGTACTTAAAAGAATGTTGTGAAGGTCGTTTTGCGAATAGTATGGCACGTTCGTCCTTTTAGTTTGTACCAAGAACTGGATAATGCTTTTGATAATTGTTTCTATTATCCGGTTAGATTTTTCTTGAGGAAATCGCCGTATATTTCAACAAGGATACAATTAGCTGGGACAATGTCAAGTCCGGAGTCAAAAGGAAAAGAGTTTTTTTTTTTACCCAAGACAATGTGCTATTATTAGATGATATAATCGAACGTGAAAAGCTATAAAATTGCAGTAGTTTGCGGAACTTGCTGTTATGCAGTAATGGATAATTATTTTTTTTAATATTTTTTTTATATATATTATTAAATTTATATTAAAAGTAAATATACATAATATCAAATGAAGGACTTTGCAGATTCCAGCGTCCGCTCAGGATAAATTTGGAAGACAAAGTGTGTTACATTTGTTCTACTATATTGAGACATACTGATAGATATAATCATGGAAGACGCAATGGTACTTTCATTTGGAAAGGCGGCAGATGCGCAATGTACCCGAATGAACATTATAGTGTGTTATCGCATTGGTTGAACAGGAGCTGATCATTAAGCTACTTCGTAAAACTGTGACGCTGGCAAAGACCATGAAAGTTGAAGCTCCTCAGCAACTTCTAGACTTCTGTATGTACGCAGTAGGAACTATGGGAGGAATTGTCGCGGTAAGTTAGATCCTTTTAAATAAGTGATATTCATTTCGAGTTGACTGTACAATTTACTTCTTTTGTGCGCAGCTCTTTTTGTATGCATCGGATCAGATGACGAGTCTGCCTTTAAAAACAATCATATATTTAATTTATAAATAGGCTTTTTAGATAATACATAATAGGCGTGACCAAAGTACACAAACGAAAAAAAGCTTATATATATATCACAGATGTGAGCACAGAGTACGCATAATTGTGGAACTTTATTTTATGACTAAATTACAAAGAATCTTCCACCACTTTTAGTAATTAGTAATAAACACGATGTTCATAGATCGTGGAAAAGCATGTCTCTACAGATGGGTAATTTTTACGTTCAATGGGGGAGTAGATGCTAAGCTAAACGATGCGGCAGCAGATAGCGATATGTACACTGGTAACTTAATGTTATACCTTATTTTCAAATGGTATTTTTGTTTATTAACTCTATAGCGGATGACTCAGCAGCTGTTGGAAGGCACTGTAATGCCGACGGATAAAGCTAAAGCAGTTAACCTTGAATACGATACAGAAATTGCCCTTGAAGAAGAAGAGGAAAAGGGTCAGTTATCATCGTTGGATTTAGGAAAAAATTAGAAAAGATGATAGTATAAAATATAATATAATATTAGTACACTGTTTATGATCAATAGATAGCTCGGTAACTGTTCTGAGGAAGGTCTGTTGAATCGAGATGAGCTGGAAAAAAAATAACTATCGTCATTTGCGCGTTTTATATTATCACGTAGTATCTACATCTGTAAACTACGTTATCCTAATGGAGCGTGTGGCATATAGATAGCATGTATTGTAAATGGATACCAACTTTTTATATCTATAATCAACGCGTATCGGCACCAGAGGCCTTGTTTGACGGTTCACTACCTATGGATAAGGCTCTTGAACGAGCAGTTGTCCTCGAGGAGCGAAAAATCGCTGAGGCGCAAATTATAACAATGGTCCAACTAACGATCGACATCGTATTGGCCATTCTCCGTAATATCATCGTTGGAGAACGCCCGCTTGAGTTCGCCGCGCCCTCCGGGCTCGCCATGACCATATCAATGTAAGTTCAACTATATGCTCAAATCAGCTCGTGCTTATACAATAATGTATAGTTACGCGTGCGTAGAGCTACTATACTAGATAATCTGGGTGACCGGAAACAAGTGATTGTCCTTACTTCTATAAAATATGCACTTGTACAACAAGAGAATCTTTAGGAAGTTGTTCTAGCTTCGAAAGTTTTCGTTTACTGTTTCTAAGACTGCTGCCTGTAATAGAACATGTACATGTAGATATATTCGCTTGAGATCTACTACGGAACAGCCATATCTAACACGTTCAGACGCGACGCTTATATGCGAAATTGAATACGGAAATGCATTAATTGAACTCCTGCCCACGATATTACAGAATCCAGGCCTTGACAAATGAGGATACAGGTAGGATAATTTTGTATAGACAGACCTTTGAGTCATATTTGGGTCCCTATGCCTCGTCAATTTGGATTCGTGTACCTTGCTCCTGTATAGGTTCAGTGGTGGGGCTCTATCCGGTAAAGCGATTCAGCATGGCGATGCTGTTTACATCTTCCCCGGAGTATGCGATATGCTGGCAAATCAGCCGAACTGCGCAGGCAATGAAACATTAGGTGTGATGGTAAGCTATATTTTTATGAAGTTACGTCTTTTAACACCGTACGTTATCGTTCGCGTTATATGTTCCTATCGGTGCTGCATGTCGGGCGCCTTTCATTGTTCTAAACCGATCTAGTCCTCGGTAGATCGGAATGACTTTATGTTAGTTCGAAGCTCTTTGCATACGTAAATGACTGATCCTATTAACTCCCTAGACGGACAAGGGTAAAAGTAGAGTTATGAGATACTTGTATGAAAAGCCACACATATTACTCAAGATTATTAAGTTTAGCCATCGGACGATTGTCTAGACATCCTAATTTATCGCAGTGTCCATAGCGGATTTAGGTTACAGTAACGGGCGAACTAAAATCAGTTGGACCGCTAGCAGTAAAAACGCGTAAAATCCTGTAGGCCAACTACTCTACACAATAATACCAAGTGTTTCATTAATTGCATCTAATAAAACGCCAGGTTTACTATAATTTACGTAATGGGCACTAGTGCGCTGGCACAACAAACTACTTTTTTCAAATACAAGTATTTCGTTACCATATAGATATAAAGTTGCTTATTGGTCATCGGATGTAAGCATAATGATGCTACAAGTATTATATGTTCTATAATTACGAATCTGTCCCCGCAACTTCGCATAGTAGTGACACAATCCGTCATTTCATGAACCGAAATAATGCTGGTTTGGATTAGTTTACAACTATCTAGAACGTTTGACAGTGCAGAAAGATGACTCAGAACCACTGCAGCTCTGGAAGCTCATTGTGTTTGCCTGTACGATTTCAGAAGAAGAAGAAGAAAGTTGTGAAAATAAGTTGCAACCGGTATTTCCGTCGTAATGTATTGATGTCAAACCATTGGGTAGACTCTACATCATTAAGTTATATATGTACTATAGGACATTCAGTGGTCATTTCATGACGGTTTGTATGAATAGTGAAAGTATTTTCCTGAAGAGAAAAGTGAAAACACTTTCTAACAGGCAGCAACAATGAAAGATCAGTTAATGCCAAGCTCCTACACTCGACATTATACACGTGTGGTCATTCTACATTGAGAGCAGTACAATGCTATAGGTATGTTTTTTTTTCAAATATAGGTCAAAAGCCAGTTCCGATGATTCAGTTTACTCGTTTCTTTACGTGTTAGCAGCAATGAAATTATTGTGGTTTTGGTTCCTGTTGCCTCTCTTTGCATCGACTTACAGGCGGTCTCATGGCCTGCTATTCTGCAATCGTACGGAGGTTCCGTAGACGTCCTTTCGAAAGATTCCAAGACACTGCAGTTAATAGTTCTGGACGACACATTGCATCCTCTCGACATTTCGAATACCACCGATTTCTTCACCATAATTGTGCCCCGTAAGGGAGCTGGGGAAAACAGTACGGTAAGCTTGAATCATCACCAGTGGCTGTTATGAAGTAGTCAGATTTACAGAACTTATAAATACAACAACTATTTCATCTACTTCACTGCAGGGTTTACCTGACCCGGTGCATTTCTCCCCCGAGCCTAAGTGGAACGAGCAAATGGTCTATCATCAATTTATCGTTGAGAAAGAAGATTCGGCAGTTAACATCGAGATTATACCGGACAATCCTGACCATTCACGCTTACTTGTGTATCTGAAACACAGAGCTAAACCATTGCTTCATTCGTATGATATGGTGTTCAATCTAAGTCAAGCTAGGAATTCAAACGGGACATACGACATCTTCCTTGACAACTTCGCTATTAATAACAGGTATGCGCTTCATGGACAAAAAAATTACTTCAACTATTCTCTATTCTAGTTAGAGGCTATCCCACTTGCCCTATTGTCAACTGTACTAATAGCTAAGGCAAAAGCGAGCTCGTGTTATAGTGCGGCATTAAACGGTTTCCGACATACTGTGAAGTACGCGGTGCATAACCTATATCTTTGTGAACGAGGCAGCTAGCGTATCCCGAAAAAGAAAAAAGCTCTCTGCCAAAATAGTGCCTGCGCGTGTGGCGCGAACAAGATAAATTTAGGCGAGAAAAATAGGAGCACATAATAAACACGAGAGAAATGGACGAACCGCGCGACTCGACCGGACATATTTTGGTGACAACAGGGAAATAGCATAAAAACGACCAGTGAGTGCTTCGAAAATGTTTTATTTTTTATAGGAGTCTCTTATGCCGGTAAAAAAGCTCTACCCTTGAAGAGTACCCTTGAAAGTGACATGTTCCGCCTCTGCCACTCAGTTCCCGCCATAGCCCCGTGCATATATTGCACGGGGCTATGGCGGAAAAGGAAAGACATTGCTATCGTAAGATCGATGGGTGGACATCTTTGCTCAATGAACATTACAATCGGTCACGATAAAAGTAATTATTCTACCCGGTTTTTGAACTACCTAATGTTACGTTGATACAAGGAGTTCCACTGAAGTTACAGGAAATAAGGAACATTAGCGATCTTCTATTGACACTACAGCCATTCTGGTACGTTTTCTTCTTCCGGCACCAAACTTCTCTCGAATAATTTCCGATTTACCTAGGGCCACATCACATCACCATGAAACACAAGAATCTACAACGATCTTCCGGAGTGGCCAGCTGCATATCTTTCTGTTTCCGTAACGGGCCAGCCACCTATATTTGCTCTGCTCGATTAACCCTGGACTGTCGAGAATAGGATTAGATATATAAACACAATCTCTCAATATATATCTATGTTTCCATACGATCGCTAACATGTTCCTATGCTATTCTCGAAAATGCCCCTTTTTTGGGCCAACTGGCCAATGGTACCCTTGGCCAGTAAGCTCCAAACCGATGTAGCAATACTTAGTTTATTAATCGAATAGAACGTATGCTTGAGGAAGGCTGCTGTTAGATGCTTTAGACGTGTTACACACGGTCTGATTTTAGAAAGAAAGCTAAACTCGAATTTTCAATTCTCTATGGAATTGAGGAATTACCTATTGAGATTAAGTAAAAGTGGTTGCCCAATTTTTAGTCGCTTCATCTTTTGGTGGTTCTCTTAGAGTAGCACGGTCTGATACCATGCTTCATTGTAGTAGCTCTGTTCAGTGAGTGCCGTTATACTGGTTGCTATGACATTAATCAGAACTGGCTTGCAATAGCCGTTAGCAACCACTTGACTATCGTTGTTAGATTAGTTGACCAATTGGGAATTATTATATCGCGCCGCTATACGCCTGAGCTAACGTGCTTTGATCTTGAAAGCAAAAATAGAAGATTTAACTCACGATTTTACTGTGAAGACAGGAAAATGGTCTGGAAAAAAAAGACTGGAAAAGTTTTCATGTTACTTGTGCTGTTAGCGATAGATTCATGTTTGATTACCTAACTGACACTTTGGTATTAAGAAACAGCTTTGTCGGACCATTTAACAACAAACTGTATTCATTGTGTTGTACATTTTTGGACGGTAAACGTCCATTGGTAGTACATCATCAGTAAAACTTGCATCCACTTTAAACGGGTTTAAATCGGTAAGATGGTAACCAATCGTCAACCTATGACAGTACTAGCACGAATACATACCGCGTCCGTGAAAGATCGACATCATAACAGCATTTGATATAAGGGGTGCTATCTCTACCTACTACAGAAGATAATAATAGCGTTCCTAGTATTTATACTGATGCTCTGATATATAAGGTACACACCAGCACGTCGACGTCGACTTACCCAGCGATTAGCGGTCGCATTTCTTTCTGATCAGCAGATCTCTAGTATGAAGAAACTACGATAGATTTCATTTCGGTTGTTTCATCATTATAGTATGGTTGTACCTGGGGGCTCGCTCGTAATGTACCAAAGTGTTGGTATCTACTGGTACCTATTGGTAAACAAGTCAGTAGAAGAGCAAACAAAAGCTGATCTTCAACTTCATCATTGTAGCTAACCGCATTAAGGGTATCGCGAAAGACTTCCTTGGAAGACGATGGTTTTGACAGTTGTTAATGTTACGTTAGAGTAGTATGGAAAAATGCGTTTTCACTTTATTAATATATAACTAGAACCAGTTATCTCAGTTTCTAAAAATCTGTTCAGCCAAAAAAAATATTTCTACCCAAATTTGTTTGGTACTTTTTACCACAACCCCATGGTACCTGTATGCGGAAACTGCGTGGATAGTCTGCAGCTTCCGTAAGAGCATTCAAAAGTGGATGCTGCAAGGCATCCCAGGCTGAAGTTCAACCAGGAAAAATCAACGTGCATGAGTCAAATGAGCTTATTTTTGTCAATTGATAGATCTAAAGAGATCTGATTCTGGCTGTTTTTGTCCGAATACGAAACTTGATTTGCAAATACCGTAAACTATCATCGCGATGACAAGTAAAACAAAGGAAATGGATAAACGGTATGACCTTACCAAAGGAGGCACACTCTTCTATCATGTACGCCATTTTGCCATTTCGAACATAGGCATCTTCGTCATACATATTTCGAAGGCACTTTTACTGTTACCATTTGTTAATCGAGAGCTACGTTGCAAGCTTGATTCCCTTCAGAGAAACTTTCTAAAGTTAGGTTTTTAACCGTTAAAAACGACGCTCGGTATCGATATATAAATATGTTTGCTTTTTATATGTTATTTGCGTTCGGCGAAGTCGTATATATTCACGTACACGGTTCTCTAATCCAACTAGGACTCTAGAAGAGCAAGCAGGAGCCAAGACGTAATCGAACGAAAATATAACTAGAAAATCCCCTAAGGAACAACTCGTTTTATTTACTTATCTTACTCCTTAAGGAGAACACCTGTGCAGATCAGCATTCAGTCAGGTGAAACGAATTAGTCCGACAATAGCTGAGATGTTCAATGATAAGTAGTACAGAACTCCTTTGTACAATTAAGCATATAAAGTGAATGTTAGATTATTTCTTAATTTGTATATAAATGTACTAGTGCTAACGGTTATCAATAAATAGGTCGAGTTTATTTATCTTGTAAGTCACTACTTGGTGACTTATAAGTTTTCAGTAAGTATAGTGTTCGATATTAGAAATCTACCAGCACTCCCCTTGCAATTCCTAGTTGTTCACACGTACATTTGGCCAGTTCATGTCTGCTGATATAGCAATTTATTATCTAAAAGGAACAGCGAAGCCTAATAAAACCTTACATGAGAGTACTTCTCTAAAATAATACTGATTAAAAAAATTTATGTGCGATTATAGTAAATTAGCATATCCTAGCTAAGACATATAGTATAATGTAGTTAAAAAATGTTGTGCGCGCTGTTTATTTTTACTTATAGTACGGTATAGTTATATTACGTAAACTATATTTTCTTTACACTACAAAAACAGATATTCCATATTTTACGTCCGTTTATTACAGATTATTAGCAGCAAAGAAGGTCCCACAAAAATATAGTAGATATTCTATTGCATTACATAGTGTTATCTTACTATACTACGTCCTAACCGAGGTTGACGAACAGACACTCGTAAATCGTGCACGTTTGCCTTCATTTTGGTTATTTCACAGTACCTGGAAGCCTTAAACCGTTATGTGCTGCCGTTTTGCGTTTGCAACAACTGGCCCACTCCAATTCGTGCAGGGTATCTGACAATTTTTAGGTACGGTACATACAAATACGTTTTTACGAATATACGATTATTAATATACACATACGGAATGGAGGTCCTTAAGAAGAAAGCCGGTTATCCTACTATAAAGTAACTTCTCGGACGGTATATAATTGCCCTGAGTACATCTATTATGACCTTAAATTTCAGATAACTTCACTAAACGAAACTCTAAGAGAAAAAGATGTGTGAGCTCGGACGGCAAAAAAATGGCGAGTGGCTAACGCCGGGAGATCGGAGGCAAAGGTCATCTCGCAGGGGAGAGGGTCGGCTGTTTGCCTCTATGCTGAAAAAGCACGTCATGTTAATGTTTAGGTATCGTTTATGGCGTACGTTCCGTACGACGCAGTGTTCCGTGCAAATATTTTAGGAAATTTGTAGGGGCGAAACCGCCTGCTATTGCCCCCGCCGAAGCGACCGCAATAGTAACCGTAATGGCCATCGACTTGATGTTTCCCCATTCGGCGATAACTTCTTCTTTGAATGCTCCTGATTTGGTGCATCCAGTCAAGTTTAAGTCTTGCTATAGATTGAGATATTTGATTGCTGCACACATTGATAGTAAAGGTATATGAAACGAATATATATACGAACTTGCAATCTATTGAGAGTTTGCTTGATCTCATCGAGATTAGTTTCTATATATTTTCGTGTTGCCATGCCTGACTTAACAAATGGAGTAATATTTTTTCACCAATGGAATAATTTATCACTCATATACGACGTATAGACAAAAAAAAACTCTGCGCCATTTGTTTGCCAAAGCAGAAGTTGAGCTAAACCGTCGATCAAGCTTTTTAGCTCGAAAGACTGGTTTAACCTCATTTCTTATTACTGCATCAATTGTAATGTTTTGATAACAGGGAGTAACTTGGCGAATGACCATAGAGAGTTTGTTAGTTTTTTAGGCGCAAGCCTGCCAGCGACCACGTCTTCAGGTTTCGGGTAACTGGCTTCTAGGGAGGCTTTTTACGTTGCTTCCTAACGCCTACTAACGGGCGAAAAGCTTTTTAATAAAAAAACTCCTCCCATTTCTAAGTTAATTGAGGCCTATTTTGCAAGTGAATTTCGTTCAGAAACGTCTCTTTAACGTGCGGTGCGAGGTGCACTTGTATGGATGCTTTCACTATGTGTAAGTTAAATTTTATACATCCACGTACCCGTTCCTCTCTGAACTAAATAGTTACATTTAGCACCTTGCTAGGAGCTAGAAAATGCGATATGTACAATAAGCAGAAACCGATGCATGGCCAAGGGCAATTATAACCGAAAAATCTATTAAGGAACAGATGTTTTTATACGTTTTTTTTTTTTAATATTTCTTATAGACAACGCCGGCACAGAATGGCATTCAGCGGGCTAAAACAGATGATCTCGATCGCAGTTGGGGTGTCAAATAATATATAAGACAAATCTTCTTTGTGCGCCTAGTTATGTGTCTAGCTATTTACTATATAGCTAAATTACCCCTTCGTTTGTACTCTAGCAATATGTCAGAAAGGCTGAAGCACCTAACGACGCTACTCTTGCTAGATTTTCCTTTACTATTTTTTTTTATTAATTGTGAATTCAAAAGCGGCGATTACATATACATAATATGAAATTGATTGAGTGAAATATTTATAGATATCCTTTTGACTCATATAATTTGGATTTGAGCGACAACTAGCTTCAGAGTCTGGCTGGAATCTACATAAACGACACTGAAAAGCGTTTAAACACTAAAGCCTAATCTCGCTTGACGGGGCTGTATTTCCCATATTGTTGAAACTATTTCCCACACTAAACGCCGCCTCTGTAGTGTATCTATTTAACCTAACGTAGGTTTCTCGTTTCATTATCACTGCGTGTGTGACGCTGATAGACGTCCGGGACAAGCCGACTATAGCTGCAATTTAGGGCGTTGGGCGTTGGGGGCAGTGCATAAAAACTGCCGAATTCCACTTAACCGAGCATTCATCAATAGTATTTGGTTAGAGTAAAAAATATTATGGGATAAAATGTTGTGTTACTATGCGCGTCCTATATTGCGCTAAAAGGCAAATCATACATCCGAATACTCTCTATTGAAGTAATGTTACTTGATATTTCAGAACTGGCTATTTCTACATCGGTATTACGGAGGCCAACGTGTCAATATCCGAGCTGATGGTAAACGCCAGTGGTTACTTCAATCTTACTGATAATGAGGTCGTCCGAGAGTTGAGTACGGACTACTCCATTCGTATATACACCTCCGGCTGCTATTTCTTCAACAAGAAATCCAAAATATGGTCCGGCGAGGGATGCTTTGTGAGTTTCATCATATATTTCAAAATACTTCTGTCTTATGTATATAGTAGAGTGCGTGCTATGCCAATACAGGTTACTTGGCTATATAGAGCTGTACAAATTCGTCTAATTGCTCAGCATAAGGACACGAATAATACAGAAGGAAGGCGCATACCGTCGAAAGTGGAGTTTTTGCATTGACGGGATTGCTGCAGTAGGCACTATTCGAGATTAATAACATGAAAATTTGGTAACACTGACCATCGTTTTGCAAAGTTCTTTGCTATCTGGTTGTCATGGCCACAACAGAGCTGTATTTTCATCTCGAGCTTCTTTCTAGTTCTGCAATGTTTTCTGTAACGGTATTGATGACCAACTAATGAGGTTCCAAACCTCAATAATAGATAATTGCCATCTTCAAAATGACACCGTCTAAAAAAGCTGAGCCTTGTGTTGTTTCCACTAGTATAACTCACGATCATTACCTAGTTTTCTGCACAGTTGATTGTTATTAAAATTAAATTAATTTTGATTGTTTGTTGAAGTGCTTCATTTCGGAGATCATTGCTTAAGTTCCGTAATGGTGTCAAACGATTCCTATTCCATCTGTTTCTGCAATTGCTTCTTGTTTTTATTACGTTCAATAGTTGGATGAATGAAAGATTCTAAATTGATCAAGTATGTTCTCAGAAGCTTCCCAAGCAAGTCTCAAAATCTGTTTATAGCTGACATTTATCAATATCGTACTACTCAACTGCCCGTCATTGGAAAAGCAGTCTTTTTGAGCGGATGACCAGCGTTGGAGGCTTGACTTGTCGGCATTGTGACTCTTACGCGCAGCAGTAGACATCTGATACCTGCAGCTGGATAGGACTGAGCAACTTATTCCCTTACATCCTTGTCAGGACCATACAATTACAAGGCACCGACTTGTTCGTCTTTTGACGCTAAACGTTTGGCGAACCTCGTCGTTTTCGCCAAAAAGAAAAAACGAAACTGATTGTCACAATGATTTCTAGCTGAGACTCGTTGCTTCAGTTATTCCTATAGTTACCTGTATAAGAGATGGTGCTCTTTCTTCAATTCTACCCGTCCCAGCAAAGCTGCTCTGTAGTACATGTTATAGAGAAAACGTTACGATGCAGCACTCTTGGGGGCATCAATACCCTAAAACACTAACAAGGTTGGCCTGAGGGGCCGTGTTGTCCGTTTCACCATAAAATCTATTAATGCTGATTTGCAACGAAGAGGTTCGTATCTTGCTTGTATGCAATTTGTCATTTATAAGTGGCCCATATTTAGATCTTTGCTTTGTTTGCCAAAATGAATACATCCAGTTTATCATAGAAGTAAAATACTTGCCAATTTTTCTCGTAAAGACCGGATCGTGCTCTCAGTTCTGTAGCTCTGGCATGTCCGTTATTCCCTTGCTCTCTACGGGCAGCAAAGTTCCACTCTGGAATAGACATGCGAAACCACTGTTTCTCATCGAGATAGAGCTCTGCGATAGATAGTGTTTGATTATGAGTTGCCACATGAATTATAGTTACTTTAGAAATTGCCAACAAGATGTTGGTGAAGCCCGTATGATCAGTTTGCACCTACTGAACCGCACAATGCTATCATGGTAAAAAAAGCACACGTCTGAAAGAGATCGATAAATAATTGGAGCACTTTTTTTTAGCCCGGCCTTGAATAGCAAAAACAGTTAACTTGTCCTGGCGTCTGTTTGGTATGGTACAGGTTGAAAACGCTAATTATGCGGCAACATATTGCAAATGTAACCATCTGACAAGCTTTGGCTCAGGATTCTTCGTCGTTCCAAATACCATCGACTTCTCTTACGTATTTGCTAACGCCGGCTTCGCTGACAACGTCACCATTTACATGTGTGTCATACTGACAATGTTTATCTATTTAGTACTTCTCATTTGGGCCCGCCGAGAGGATCTCAAGGATAACGAAAAGGTATGTAGGGCAAGCTCCTTTGGGGAACAGCGTATGACTATGCTAACCAAGGAAAAGATTTTCAGGTGTATGCCACAGGACGCGGTTTGCTTTAGTAGACATTGCCTGCACTGATACTTTCAGAAATCAGTTACAGTCCTAATCCTATACAAGAGTACAACAAATTGTGGCCGTCGGGAGCCGCCGTTTAGCTCAGCTGTCAGAGTCACACGATTTAGTAGACAGTTTGAAAGAAAATTCATATAATATAGCATTTATAGGAGCGGGATTTAGGGGAAGTGTATTGTTTCATTTTTCGGCTTAAGTTCCCATGAATTATTATTCTATAGGACGATTCTCTTAGAGAGGAAATAGTTCAGTTGAAACATTGCTGAAGATGTTCTTTTTTATATTGAAAGGTATTACTATATAACACCTGAAGCTGTTGTTAACAAAAAGTTACCTTGCTAGAGATATAGTAGATCAAATAGATCAGTGAATCATCGCCTGTTACTAAATAGGAGCAATTGAAGAAAAAAACTAGTGTAATAGGCGGTGTCCTCTAGAGTTTCTTGTTACTTATATCACACGTTCATAATATAAATATTTTTTTTCTTTTTCTATTTTTGCTTATCAAATACCAATTCGACGATGAGAAAATATAGAATCGAAACACATAGTAAATAAAAAAAAAAAGCACATTTAGCGTATTGTGGTATCTACGATCGATCGTACGATGACCTACGTAGCTATGTATGAGGACATGCTTCGCGCTACCACAAAAGCTACCAGAGAAAGGGTAATAAATTAATAAATAGTAAAATAATGAAAGTTTTCTAATTAGCAACTGAAGATGAAGGAAGAGTGTACACAGAGAACTTTGAAAAGCAAATTAATGGCTCTCATTTCATATAGTAACAGAGCATACGTAATTCATTAGAAACAATAATTTAATAACAAATTTAAGTGTTGACAAATGTTTCCAATACACGCGCAAGTATCCAAAGCTAAAATACGTCATCTATCCTTGTAGTGCAATGAACAAAGAAATTATAGAAACGCGTACCTATATGGTCTTACTATTAGACGCGACAGCCTATATGCTAAAAGAAATCTTCAAACGTGTTTCTCAACAAACCTATGAATGCTTGATGTTACGTTTTTTAGGCCCAAGTATTATTCGTATTATATACTTTTTAAAGTAGAAATGTCCTGTAGGTAGAGTATTTGAACAGTTGTACGTTTGATGCTCAGATGAGCTAGTAAGAAATACATACATCGCTAAACGTGTTAACCTCATCAGGGCACTTCCATTCAAATTACTCCCCCCCCCCCCCCCCATACGATTTAGATTGGGCCTTTCAAAGAATAGGATAAATGTTAAACAACATTATAATTCAATATAGCAGGAGGTAAGCATGTTGAGAACGCAACTTATGTATGTGGAATTCATTAGGAGACCTGCAGCTAATTTCAGGCTGTTCTGCTATCGACGGCAGGCCTGTTAAACTTTCGTATGTAGTTTAATTAGCCGCATAGTCGCTATACAGCCTACAATGTCTTTCGTGTTTTGCAGCTATGTGCTTATCCGTTGCCTGACAACGACCACAGAGACAATTACCTTTATGAGATGACAGTACACACAGGGGACAAGGATGGAGCGGCCACCGATTCGAGGATCTTCTTTATCCTCAGTGGAGATGATGACGAGACGGATGCACGAACCTTCGGTGAATCAAAAAGCAAACTGTTCCGCAGGGGCGGCCAGGACACATTCGTAATGGCCTGCTCTAAACCTCTCGGGCGGCTTAACTATATGCGTCTTTGGCACGATAACTCGGGCAAAGGAAAATTCCGGTGAGCCTAATTAGAGAATTAGATTTATGTGTATCTTATATCTCTCACACACACACACATTTAACTTGTTTACGTATATGGCTGTAAACCGTGATGCCGTAATGTGAATTTGGGCGAAGCAGGAGCATTTTGGTGAACAGCAGATTGAAAAAATTGCCTTTAGTGAAACTTTCTCAAGTACGAATTGTACTGCTGAACACAGTAAATGAAGTTGTTCAATTTCCTTTTCGTAACTTCCCAATGAAACGAAATAGTTGATCCATTGAGAATGCGACTCCTGTGTTAGCTCTCTCACAAATATCTTCATAAGTCAGATTTCTATTTCAGATTACCTGATTCGCGAACATCATGAATATTTATTCAGTTTAGTCAGTTAGTGCTTCCAAATGAAATTGACTGTAATGAAAGAGTATACTACGGGAAAAGTTTCTCGACACATTATCTATCTTTCGTACCTTCCGTACAAAATGCTGATCTGTGGCAACTGCTCAATAGAAAAGTTTGGCATACTGTTTTTGTGGCCGCCATTGCTTTATTCCTAGCATCCTATATATATATATATATATATATATATATTTATATATATATATATATAGTATACACTTTACTTGTGATTTTGTTAAGTTACCTTATCAGATAATGCGTCGGCTAACGGGCACTGTTCTCAAATCGGACTGTAGCTTTTTGTCTTCCTCTTTTCCTTTACGTCCTGCCTCTATCTCTACCTGCAGCGAGCTGAAGCGGTCTTCTCTAATCAAGTTAGCCCTCTCTCTGTCTACGTGGCTTCTTAATAGATCCGCTAAATTGAGCTCTAAGTCTCAAGAGTTTTACGGGTAGCAGAAAAGTCAGTGACGCTATGCGCACGACGCTGCCTGTTTTCGGTGACAGCAATAGGGGTTCGACGTGAGGAGCTTGTAACTAGAAGCTGCTGTAGTAGCACCGACAGACGGAAACTAGAGCCCAGGATTAAAATTGATTACTTCTGGCGAATAACTTTCGTTTAAGTGCTGAATCCTAGGAGGGATTGGTTGCGATCAAAAGCGACATAAAGCCTGAATGAAATATGCGTTTATCTATCTTGTTCCTAAAATAAGTTAAACATACTTATTAGGATATAAATCCTAAGTATAAATCTATCTTTAGCTTTTACATTGCTTGACACCATACAGGCTGAAAACAGGTCTACTCCTATGCATCTATACAGTAGAAGACACGTAGCTTAACGGTTACTCATATGCAAACATATATGCGGATGTCGACTATGTAATTTAAATGCAGCTTATTTGTTAATACTAAATCCGCAGACTTCAAACTCCGGGACATACGTTCCATTGCGAGTCTTGAAGGAATAGGACCCGTTTCAAAGTCAGAAACTTAGCTGGCCGAGCTACCGGTACCTATTTTTACTTTAGTAATAGCGTCATAACAGTAGACTAATCGTGGGATATAAATAATGACAAATAAGTTGTAACTAGAGCAACGTTTCTCACTATTAGTTCATTGAGTTGTCGATACATGTCGAATACGAAATATAAATATTTCGTGTATAAATATTCACTTAAATCTGACGCCTGGTTTCGAAGTATATCGAAATCTCGCTTTGAGTTCGTATCCCTAATGTAATCAGCTACCCATTGCTGGAAACTCTAAGAGCTATAGAGGAGACTGGGATACATATTTTTCGATCGTCGCTAGGTGAGTCGATTAAGCTGCATGCCGTATACAGTATATGGAGCCTATTAACCCTGACAACGACCCAAAGTGAATGCGCAGGCCTATATGGTGTTGGCTCATTTAGCCTTATCGCTATTGTCCCCTCGAGCTGGGCTGCTAAAGCCAATCGCCTCTGAGCACCCAATCGTAATTAACGGGTCGCACGTTTCAGGGATTAGAAATAATAATCATACTAAAATGTATAATATATACCATCTGTTGCTTGACGGCTTTGGTAGGTTAGTGGAAAACTAGGTAGCATGAAATTTATAAGATTTCCTAATAGCCATGCCCGATAAGATCCGCGTTGATAACCATTTAGGTAATGCCGACACAGGCTATCATGTGCCCCTAGAAGAAAATTGTTTCTTTACATTAGATCCCTTCATTGTTATGTTTTGTGAGTACGCTAATATATCTAATTCGCGTTCTTAATATGGGACCGGCCAGCTGACCAATGGCGTAATCTTACAAAACCATTGTATCCAGCCACTGTACCTCAAAGCCAAAAAAAAAAGATTTCAGCCGGATCATAGTAGTAATCGATCAGGACGATCGTAGCTTCTGGAATGTCGTAGGCATCGTACACCGACCGAAACAGCGCTTATTCACCTCTTTAACGACGTAACATTAAGGTAATCTTTACTACGGTTTAAAGTTACTACGGTAACTTGAAGCCTTCTTGAATAACGTGTAAGTGATCAAGATGATATATTTTTTTAAACATATACCACTTCGGTAAGCGAATTAATTTATTGTGATATAATGTTGAAGATTTGATATTTGTTCGAATAGAATTGGAAAGCATCATGGAAAATAGCAACACATTTCGTTCTAATGGAACCTAGAATACTCCTGCATCGAATCGTCCCATCTCGTTCCTTAGTATAGGTTATTCTTAAAATGTAACATATTGTTTGTTTGGGTTACACGGATATAACTAGCCTTGTGGAATTTTCACTTCGTTCAAATGGCACCAAAACAATTATGTAAATCCGAAAATGTAAACATAGATAAAACATGAGAGCTAAACGTGTTTTGCTCTCGTAGAATTCATCAAAATGTGTATATCGAAGTTCATTAAACCCAGAACTCGGTAAGGCAAGGGCGGAAAAGGTCAAGAAGTACAGTTGGCGCTTTGCAACCCATCAAGCAGAATAATGTTGTCTTCGCCCATAGATAATTGGTCCTAAGCCCATAGATATTAATCCAAAAAAACGACACGGTTTTCGGCCGCAGCGTTCCACCTACTTTACTAACACGACCCGTTTGGAAAATATACAGCGCATCTTTAGCAGTCCGCGTCAACGCTTGTTAAAAGCCGATCGATTATTGCTAGTTCCTCAGTAGCCTTTAAGTTTTCATTCGCATCTGACATGGTCCCTCGTTTCTTGAGTCGACTCTTAGTCGAGTATCATCTTAAATACTCTAGCACTACCGAGAGACGTTTCTCAGATAAGCGAAGATATTCTGGACGATGGAATTTTCGAACTCGACCCCTTTGAGAAAAACATAATAATAGCACGAGGCGAGTATCGATGTCCACTACTATTCTTAATGATTTCCCGAAGGAGATCAAGAGGCAACGCTGATAGATTTGTGTCTATGTGTTGATGATCTTGTCTTATTTGTCATGAACCCGCGTCGACTTTAAGAAATTGGCAACCTTCAAGAAAAACGTCGACGAACTTGGACTCAAAGGAGCGTACGAAAAATCGATGTAATGAAAATTCCTTCAAGAGTTTGCTAGCCGCGACAGATCCGTTTAGGCTTGAGAACATGGCAATTCATTACGCCAGTCTCTCTACTTACCTGGGTATAACGTTGTTACCAAGTGAACGATCATTAGACGAGCTCGTTACCCAGAAAATGCAAAGGTCTCTTCTAACCGTCATAACAATGGAGAACCGACGTAAGCGTTCGAGTCGATTTGTGTACGAATTCTGTAAAACACCGTGTTTTCTAGAGGACATGAAGTAAACAGGGACCTATAAACAGTTTATCCACCATAAGATGAGTCCCGTATCACTCAGATTTGCACAAAAAGATGACTTACCCCGTTTAAAGATACGGCCAACCAACATGCTGTGACTTGCGACGCGGTTTTCATGATCGTATTTATCAGTACTCGGTTACCATGGTTCAGGGGCAAATTGCCGCTGTTAACGACACGAAAGTCGACTGCGAGCGTTTCAGTTGTGCTTCCCCTTAACGCGCTACCTCGTTTGGTTATCTTCTAATATGATTTTTACATACGTTGGGATTTTTATCGTCACTATAGTGTGGCTTTGCCAGAATGCTGTTTACTGGAAGAAACAAAAACCTTGGAAAGCCTTACTCTACTTGGAAGCCTACCTCTAGCGTACTTGTCAGGCTTCAACTGAAATGGCGGAACTTTCAAGCTAGCAAAGTTATTGTAGGATAAAAAAAAATCTACTATTTTCTTTCGATTTGTAGCCAGTCAAACTGCCTTTTTCGGCAATTTGCAAAAAAATTAATTATAAATCTGCCATACAAAGGCTGCGGTCAATGAAGACTTACTCACACGAAATTATTCTAAATTACAAAATAAGACGAGAATTCTTGAAGAGTCGTATTCATTGGTACGGGTGACGCATTCGAAGGCTGGCTAGGCGCATCATTACGTGAAGTCAGCCTCGCCGTTTACTGCTCTGCTATTCCAAATGATAGTTCATTTTGGATGAACGAATAGATTGGTTATTATTATACAAGTAACAGTACTGAGAATAAATTGCATTGTAGTATACGTCTTTAAGGTACGAGCTTCAAGAGAACGCTTTTTATCGAGCGAAAACTTTTATTGTACTATTTTCCTTGGTCTAGTTCATGGTACCTGCGATTTATATCGGTTCGTGACGTACAGACCAACGCCCGTTACGACTTCATTGCCAATCGTTGGTTCGCTGTCGAGAAGGACGATGGCCAAGTTGATCGACTGCTTCCTGTTGCAGGTAGGCGACTAGTGGCAACCAGTGTCGCTAAATTGCCACTGGCAATTGCATGCAATGAACGTTATATTTCAATTTAAAATATCTATTTCTAGTAATGACGATATCAAGATTGAAGCGAGGTTATATATAGTTATTACAGGACATATATCGCTCTATTTCTAGCGGGATCGTTAAGAGCCCACCTTAGGACATGAGGTTAAACGAAAGATTGATGATGATACGTTTGTGGATAGGTACTTTGCAGCTGGAACTTATTAAGATATAGAATTGTTGTTAAGAGCAAGACTTGAACGGGACGTTTCGAAGGGCGAATTGTCGTACATTGGATACATGGTCAATGTCTGTGATGATTGTACAATACGACTAATAGATATTTGGTCAAATTTCAGGGAAAGAAGAGACGACTGAGTTCAGCCATTTGTTTCAACTGAAATCTCAGAAGAACTTTGCCGATGGACACCTTTGGTTTTCAGTGTTCCTTCGGCCACCAAAGAGCCGATTCACAAGGTGGTCATTATTTTCAAGTTTGCCTTATTCGTGCCAATGTGCATTCACTTGGTAGCTTGCGCTAAGTCCATTATTATCCTTATGATAACTGCAGCAGCTCACAAGATTCCCACCAGACAACATGATCCTTATCTGTAAGTAAGAACTAGAATACATTTAGTAGGATCAAGTAAGTTAGCTAGAATATCGTTATGACTATTACTGGTTTTGAATTGCAGATGCCAACGAGTGTCCTGTTGTATTGCCCTACTTTACTTATCGATGCTGGTCAATGCGATGTGGTATGGACGTGTACCATCTAAACCGTCTGGTAAGACCCTACGCGCACGCTCTAATACATACTGCTTGTGCCTGTGTTATAGTCTGGCCTATGATAAGGAAAAGACATACTAACCGAAAAAAAATTAAGGAAGGATTACACATCCACTTGTTTATACTTAGAGGATTAACACAGAAATGTATCTTAGGCTAGTCGGCCTTGACAGCGACCGGCCCAACATTTTCTACATTCATTCCAGAGAATTAACTTGTACTCTGTGCAACTTTGCACAGGATGAATTTATGCAGCAGCTGGTCAGTTTATGTATGAATATGCAGCTGCAACATTGTTCACAGATATTTTCGGACCTGAAGGTATTAGATCGTGGCTTGAATTGGGACTGATAAGGAGAGTATTTTGCGTATGCGGTTGTATGGCCTTTGCTTTGCTACAGATATGTTAACGCTGTAGAGTATTTTGTTGTTTTTTAACGTAGGGATATTTTACGTTCATAGCAATATATGAGCCATTCTGTAGATTGTCTTGTTCAGGCTTTTGACACTACAATCAAGGCCCATGAAAGATGGCGTTATGTAGACCTAGGCCAACGTATAGGGACTAGAATCGTGATAAGGTACATTTAACAGAATCTCTTACACATGTGTGGAAGAGATTCTATTAGCTAACCGGCTCCTAAGAATCCTGGGCTATCGATTGTTTTTTCGAGCTTCCGTAGCTCACGCGAATCCGAGTGAGCGAAAGCCATTTATATCTGTTTGCATTTTGCTAAGTCGGGGAAAGGTCGTCATTAAGTTAGCTGTAGGATGATGTTGATCTAAGGTATAGCCGACAAGACAAACACGACAGTAGCATTTCAGAATCTTGTATCTGCTTGACGTTGCTCGCCCGTTTAATAACGAAGTTATTTAAATTAAACGCAAACATATCTAGCTAAACCCCCTCACAAAATACTTCGTGTTATTAAAGTGTATGTCACCAATTGACGCACACAACGTCACAGATGTATATGGTTAATGTTCGACCTGCAGACAAACGACACGATACGTGTACGGGGACTCGACTACCGACTTAGTGTGGGCAGCATTTCGCATAACAGTCTCATAAATTATGGCAAGCAGCGGCTAAAATGGGTCGTCATTCCGTGGCTTTTGTCGTGACAGATATTAACACCGAATGGCTTTAGCCCCTGCAACAAAAAACCACATTATATTTATCCATGCTTTTATCGGATCACACAAATCAGATCATTTGCGCATGTTAGCACGCCGATGGGGAACTTTCTGGATACTATGGGCGCTCAAAGACAATGCAAACTTTGCTACATTTATACGACGTTTCCACTGCTCAGTGTAGCTTCAGTGTGAAGTTCGATGAAAGGCAATGTCGGGTCTCGATTGGAAGCAGTCCCGTTTCTCTTTGTCCTATTTGAAATAATATTCAGTTACTTTACCAGTACTCGTGTTTTGTTGTCTACTGCATTGCACGAGATCCTTACGCACGATTTAGGTATTAGCGTCGAGCATCTGGATAGGTTTTGATGTAAATCTCTGCTTTATTCGTTTATAAAGCACCTTTTTTTTTCGTCTATAGTGGTTCCCAACAATGAGTATATAACAGAGGTTAAAAAGTCATCTTTCCTATCCATATAGGATAAAGTTATGGTCCAAAACGAGCGTATATATATCGTTTTAGCGAGTAGAAATGTAGCTATTTCTCGTTTCCTTCTTCACGCCAATTTTAAATATTGTTTAGCGTTCGACCATAATGTAGCACGGCACATCGATATCGTACTTTGTACAGCGTAACTGTGTTGCCCAATACATATGAGATAGTGGTTTTAACGATTCGAAAACAGTATCTGTATCGAAAAAAGGAACTACAGTATTTTTTTTTTAGTTGACCCTACAAATTTTAAATTCCAGTCAACTTTAGATGCGTACTTTTTCTTCGAATACCTCGTTTCATCTCCGACACAACATTTAATCATGTCATCTTCTCTATTTATACTTTATACAGCATCTACGTTGAATATAGGACCGTTCGCTCTATCGCCTGAGCAAGTTGGCGTGGGGGTATTAGCCAACCTGATCGTGTTCCCGCCCACTTTTCTCATGATTACACTTTTCCGCAAAGCTCGGCTTCATACGAAGCGGCCCAACAGGATAGTGGAAGCTCTTCGAAAGCAACGTAAAGACTCGTTGATAGTAGGGCAACGGAAAGCTAATCCGGCCACAGACTCCACGACAGGTTAGAGCATCTTAAGAAAGTTAGATTTCTTTTATACAGATGCAGATTGTAACAAAAAAAAAAGTAAAACTATCAAATATTTCAGCACGACTTACAATATAAAATAAACGCATTGAGATTATCTTGCAGATTTGATGCAAACGAAGGATGGAAGCGTAACCGATCTCAATAGTATCGCCGCAGCCAAAAAGGAACAGAAAAAAAAAGCAAAAAAAACTAGAACTCTTCCATACTGGTGCAGGTAAGCATCAAATTGCCTTGTTGTTTATACGCAGATCCTATCTATTGGATATCGTCTACTAAAACCTGGTTCACGCTTTAAGAACGGGACATACGAGCCATATACTGAGGAGGTTCGATTGATTGAGTAATGAAATTGCTGACAAATACAGTATTTGCAAGCAGAATATAATTGTACAATGAATCTTGATAAAAATTATAAATCCTGAAGGCTTTATATCATGCACATACATATACATATATATATATATATATATGTGCACGCTATTGTTTGCGCGCGATGCTAATAAACATTTGTTTGACCGAAGAATTTTGTAAATGACGCGTTGTCGTTAGGACCAGCAGCTACATATCGTGGACCGTATGATAAGAAATGTATTAGAATAGCCCGAGTCATGCTTCAGCTGATGCGTGACCGTAACCTGAACAGTGCTGAAAGGGTTCTGTTTGAATCGTCACATCAGAGTTTGTCGTGAAGAGAAGGGACGCAACAAAAGTCGAGTAGGTCGGGGAAGGTACCAGCAGGTCTTAAAAACTCCTACTTTAGCTATAACACGCTCTTGCTGTTGTCGTCGTACATATACGATGCGCGATCCACTGTGACCAGGCATCAAAAATCTTTTTTCTTCCGTTGAACTATAGGTTAAACTGTTAAATTCATTCATTATCAGATTAATTTCAGCTTCGTTGTGAGCGGTTTGTGACTATCGACTATAAACAATGCGACAAGTCTCAAGTATTTCCTCCGTATGAATATAGCTCGAGCTCTAAGTGAAACTGTGCATCTGTTATTCATCCGTTCGGGACACGTTGTTGCGGTATTTTGGCTCTAACAGGACACTGTGACAACGTCCTATTAGGATAAGCTACGCTCTGAACTTAGAGAAACTACAACTAGAAGACAAGGACACAACAGGAGCAGTCTTAAAACCTAGGAAGTGTGGTTTCGGTTAAAATTGTCTGAGAAATTATAAGGACGCAGCTATGTACTACGATACCAAAAACGTCAGTCACAAAAGAGCTAAATGTTTGAATGCCACACGAATTGACGTAAAAAAAATTAATTCGATCCTATTTCCACCTGCAGAGCTCGTAACGAAATAGAACTACTGTTAAAACGATTGATGATTAGTGAAAAGCGCTCACATATGACAGTAATGTTATAAATCAACAAAAATTGAACTTCACGATTTGTGACGAAGTTCCACTGACGCGAAAAGTAAAAAATCGTCCATTGTAAGTTGCTACGGCCTAACAAAACGATTGATTAGGACCTAACTAATAAGATTACAAAAAACCATTGAAAAATCGCACAACCTCCAGCAGTACTCAGATCTTGGTTCTTCACGTTGTCTAATAAGGTTTATGCTCGCCTTTCACTGCTTTCGCGGCTTTGTCCGCGTAGATAGCACTTGCGTATGTACGCACGTGTCCTAGCCTAAATTCCTCTACTGGAGAAGCACTGTTTCATTAGACGACGAACAGCTTTGTGCTTTTAGATGATCCTCAAAAACAACTAAAAATCCCAAGACTTCCGTGCCCGCGGAAGTACGGGTCGCGATTTTTTGTCCCAGACGCCTTTCTCGAGTAGAAAGTTGTCAAAATAGTCTTCTTGTACAGAGATTGCTGATACTTACCAGTACTCTTAATTTCATGCGTCACAAGGTCAATATTATAGAGGTTTGTGCTGGTGTGCTGGCTCAGGGTCCGAGTACCACTCCAGATTTCGAATCGTACGGTATTCGCATAACGGAGAACTAGCATAATTCATTTCAGCCATTCCTGCCAGACTCCTCTGGCATATATTTTTGAAGCACCCGAACAACTCAGCATATGAACTCACCCACGCTCCGGTCACAAAACAAATAAACAATGCTGAGTTGGCCGTTCTTTAAGTACTGCCCAAGAAAATTCGTTCGAAAACTTGAACGTTACACTCAGAGCCTCTAGCAGGAACCGGTTAGTATCCACGAACTTCTTGCATATCTCGCACAGCCTCCCTGTACCGACAGATAATTTTCGCGGCGATCCTGCTTTCTTCGAGGGAAAGCGTTCTTGCACTTTTGTTTAAAAACTTCCGCGTCTCTTCTGCACCAATTTCTAAATCAAACCAGTCCATACACCCGCCCCTCTGTCAACTCCGGTCGCCATTTTCATTCCTTCGGAAGCCGCTCGTACTCTTCAGCCCCAACCGTACCGTGGGGGGCGATTCCCTATCAGTCAGATATTCGAACAATTTTTTCGCGACCTCTGCCACCTCACTAAAAAAAAGGTTTAGCCTTGTCCCGGACTGGCAAGACGTACTCGCTTTGCCCTTGTACACATACCGATAGTCGGGAACTTATAATTCTATATATATATATATATGCATATTTATTGGCGTAATTGGTATATTTACATAAGTACTGGCGGCCATTAGGAATTAGCATTAGTTTACCAGCTAAATGTTGCATACAGGCGCGTTTGAAATATTGTTCTGCGTTCTTTGGTGTAATTCGGAATTCAGGACGGATTATAAGAAGCATAAGTCGTCCAGTTTTTTTAGGAAACTTTTTAGCGTCATACGAAAACCTCCCAAAATAGTGTATTTGTATCTGTTGTGAGGAATAACATATCAATCTCGATTAACTTCCTTTGTTTACTATAGACCCAGGGCATCTATGGTATGGTATGGCATGGCATTAAGTATATGGATCCTTTAATCGCATCATTTAATACACCGCCTAAGTAAGTGGTTTTATTTTATAAGGCGCGCGCGGCCTAGTTTTATGCATTTTCTGAATAAAGGCTTTTCTGCGCTATCGTTTGCTAGGTATGTGGCCTGGTTCATATGCCTGACATCGATCTTTACCTCGGTCTTCTTCATCTGGGCATACGGAGTCCAATTTGGTGACGAGAAAACGCGCAAATGGATCACGTCACTCCTGGTGTCCTTCTTTACATCTGTCCTCGTAACACAACCAATCAAGGTGCCGGATCTACAAACAGCCGATAGCGAAACACTGCAAATTAGAGTTCTTCCATATAAAGTGATATTTATAAATATAACGATTAAAGTAGTAATAATACAAACTATTATTGTTGTTATAAAAGGAAGAAGGGTCTATGTAATACTAGGATAGCTTACGCTCGTCGGTGGCTCACAACACGGTTGAAAAGTTTTTAATTAAGGGATGCCCATGTAATCAATTTGTAGTATCGTGTTATGGAAAAACATCAATGCAATGGCGGCATTTTCATTTCAAGTTTTACATTATTACGCCTATTGCTCCAGAAATTAGAATTTATGCAAAGGAGAAGTTCAGCAGTGCCAACAACTTAATTTTAAGTGCTCGGTCCGATCTGACTCTTTACGCGATGGCACTGAGCCCAAATGGCTGGGATAAAGAGTAAAATGCTTGGTTTTCCTTCCGTTTCCTGCGCTTCAGGACTGAATGGTAGATAGCTATCCGGATTAATATAGTTTTAGTCTTATATTATAAATAATAACACTTCGAGACGACACATTTTTAGTTTGTACAAACGTTTCATTAAGTCGCAACGGTTCATTCAAGCTCTATTGTAATTTACGACCTTGAATTTCGAGTTACCTACGCCTAGGTAATGCAACTTCTGTTCCTCTCTAAATTTCAAGTGGCCACTAAAATATGATAGTGCACATTTTTCCGTCAACACTTTGTTTAACTCACTAACTTACACGCAGATGCCTCAACTGACAAGACGTTTAACTCGGCCTGGTAGCTTTGAACCGCGTACATTTCATCTACAGTACGATCCTATTCAATGAGCCTATTTAAACACTATTAGATAGAGCTTGACTTCGGGTAAAAAGTCCGATAAAGCAAGAAATCGGCCCGTTTGGGCCCGTCTTGGGCATGCTAATATTCTAGCAAAAATAAGCGTTCCAGCATCGGTTAAACAGCAGCCATTACCAGCCTTCGCCACAGAAACATTGTCAAAGCCTAAATACCGTTTTTAGATATTAACGTTGCTGACTCAACGACCGTTCCTATCCACGTTTAAACTTTCAACAGTCCGGAGATTTCAAAAGCCGTTAGCGCGAGCAACATATCAATGAACGATGGATCTAGCCAAGCTGTTTAACTTAACGTACTGGAACACAATGCTACTGCACAGATTTTCAGAAGAAGGTTTAGTTTAAGCTAATGTGACCAGGTCTTATTATGTCTAGATGCAAATATATGGATTCTCGTGCGGACCATATATTTAAACATGTTCGCCACGGGTAAGGTTACTTGCAGTGATCAGTGACAAGATGCCTCTGTATCTGTCTCGATCTGTAGGTCATCAAACAGTTGAAGTTAGTGCCTTCTTACAAATGCTACACAAGTCACTCAGCAAAGATATGCGCTAAGCAAACAATCCAACAAATAACTTAAAAGTTAAGCATTAGAGCTTGAGGGCACTATCCGTATGAAGCCAGTTTGTCTTATATAAGACAAACCGGCGCTTGGTGTAAAGCTTCGCTTGAATCGCAATGCAGGGACTGTTCACTGCTACACAAAGAACACTTGTGACAATTCGGGAAATCAGAGTTTCAAAAGCTAGAGGAAAATAGCAGAGAAAATAGATCGGTAGTTAGCAGTACTTAGGCTCTCCATTCTTTGCAACACCATAAGCCTGATTATCGAATGGCGTCTTCTGTGCAACACATTCACTACTGATTAGCCCTGTCAAAAGTCGTTTTCCATGGCTTTTACTTGTGTCCTGTTTACCAGGACCAATGTAAAAGCCACTCAAGACATCCTTAGAGGCTAGAGGCAAAGAAAACGCAGGCCAATCACTTAGGTAGTACATTGCATTAGCGTTCGTAAAATGTTTGATGGATAGCGCCTATCTTTCTCTTTTGGTGCCCACCATTGCTGAGTTCTTATTTCTATTGTATTTCTATTGAAATGTATTTCGAAATAGTCGTAATCAGAACCTAAAAATAAATTATTCTCTAAATTCAGGAAGATTGGCTTAGCTGTTCGCTTACGGCTTCAACAACCGCTTTGCTTGGGGTGGACCATTATGCATGGATTTGCTAGGGCAAAAATGTTGATTCAATACTTTACGGACGTTGCAGGTGTTTATGACAGCCATAATTCTATCAGCGCTGTTTAAGTTGCCGCAGAAGGACGAGGAAGATGACGACGACGAGGAAGAAGCGTTCGCCGGTTCAGCCGGACTTTACCATTGTAAGCGACCGATTATTTTGCGATTGTGACTCGGGCCCATATTGTTTAGAATCAGTAAATGAATTGAAGTTAATGTTTAAGTGACGAGCTGGACTGCATCCGCATCAGCGGGACTTCAGCCATATAGAGCATTTTTCACTGCCAACAACCACATTCGCGTACCTTCATGCTAAAAGTAACAATCGCGTGACAAACCGGAAACGTTTCCCTCGAAATATTGAGCTTGAAAGAAGCAT